TAAAGAATTTAGGTAGTTGAATTTTTGAACGACGGTTAGTGTGTTGTTGTTGTGAATTGCTGAATCAAATGAATCCCAAAAAAATTGCCATTCAAGTACGTTTCCATCAAATGTAGGTAAGTTCAATTTCGGTAGTTTAGTAAAGTTGCTGATATTGACACTTGGATTTGAACGTAAAGACGTGAAGTTGAGGCCAGTATTTTGTGAGTCATCTCTAAAGTTATATGCGGGGCCAACATTTTGAATGGGTTGCAGTGTCTCATTGTGTGGCAAAAACTTCCAACAATATCACTACTCATTGGAGCAGATTACTGGTCTTTAGTATGAGATGAAATTATTCCAGGTGACGGACCAACAGTGGAATCCAGCAGATTAACTCACTCGAGGACTGACTGCGGAACAGTTTTTCAGAACTCACTCTGGTTTAACGGATCCGAATGGCTAACCGATAAGGAAAAGGGCCGACATGAATGTAAACGCTCACAGATAGTACCGTATTATCATCATTCGTAGAACACGAAAGCAACGACGACCCAACAGCGAAAGAAGTAAGTAACAGACTAAATGAAGAAGGAATTGACATTATTATGGATAATACTCGGTTAAACACTTTATTCAAAATAATCGGAGTTATCGCCTTTATTCTAAGATTTGTAGCCCAATGTGAAATTCCAAAATCACAGAGAAAACCCGACTAACTTATAACAAGTAAATCACAACATGCCATGGAACTATGGATAATGAACTGTCAGCAGGACAATACTCGGAAGAAATTGGCAAGCTTGAAGTCACAGACCAGCAAAAGATTGTCGCTCGTGAACAGTTAAGACTATTTCTTGATACAACTGGAACTATTCGTTGCGGATGGGGGATTCTCAACGCTTCATAAACAGACTGCTAGATTCTCTTATTTATAAACAAAGAGGCCACCAACTTACTCGATTGTTTGTTCTGGGTGGACATGAAATATCAGATAAGACAAACATACTGTATATCGTGCATTCGCCAGTACGCGGAGAAGGTTCTACACAAATGTATAACTTGTCAAAAAGTTAGCTAACCATACATAGCACCTAATCGAACGCCATTTCCGAAAATCAGATTGACAGAAGCTCCGCCTTTTACAGACACTGGAATCGACTTTCCAGGAGGACCCATGCACACTACGAAAAGACATTGAAATGAGAAATAAGTATGGATTTGCCTGTTTACGTGTGCTTTAACACGTGCCTTTCATCTTGATGTAGTACCTGACCTTACAGAAGAATTATTTGTACAGTCATTTAGAAGATTTACAAGCCTTAAATCTCTTCCTCGTACAGTGATTCCCGATAATGCGTCAACATACCTAGCAGTGACAACTCCACAACAGATTTTCATCGGATTACCAGCAGTGATGGTGATACATGGCTGTGTACATCCTGTATATACAACTCGTCTAAACATCAACCCAACAATTTTAGATCTGTAAATTTGCTTTCGCAAATATTTTGTTCTTCCCTCGTCGGGATATATATAAGTCAGAAAATTACACCAAACAGTGTTAGAGTTAGATTTTCTACTGACAATTTTTTGTCCGTCCCTCAGCGGGATATGAACTCACACCTTTGATACACTACAGCACCAATCGCTTAGCCTCATGTCCAGCGCTCATATATATATATATACAAGTCTTAATTAAAAACTACGTTCAAATCTATGATTGCGTTGGATAAAAACCGCAATTTTTATACGTGTGCATGTAAAACAAATTTCGTTGTAGAAGGGTCTAAATACAGCACAGACAACATTTTCCAAAAGACCAAAAAAGTGAAAAAGTATATTTTAACAAAACGCATTTGACTAATAGTATATAATATTATATATATCTTCAGACAAAAAATATCCCCATTGACGCCATCTCATCTTTTACATGAAAGTATAATTTCGAAAACAGAGATGCACATCGACATTCACAACGCGAATATTCAAGAACTGGACACGATCACAGAAAACAAACTACAATGTATTTGAAAGAAAAAGACTTTTACTGAGTATTGGACAATTTTGGAAAACGTTGGTCTAACGAATATCCTTCCGAATTACGTGAATACCTTCGAGCCTCCGGAAAACTTAATGGTTAAGTTAACATCGGTGATATAGTTCAACTAGAAAATGAACCACCACGACTTTAATGGAACAATTGAAGATTTCATTAAAGGAGGAGATGGACTTATTCGTGCAGCAAAAGTAAAGACTTCTAGATCACTAGTTACCACATGCACACAATTGTGGAGTGATATCCAATAGAGCTAGTAACTGTTAGGGTTGAACAAAACACAATCCTTTTCAGAAATGTACATAGTTATTTACTAGTATGCCATACAAAAAAGATTCTTTGATTAATATTGCTGTATCTTAAAGTGTACTCGTACCCAACTGTTACTGTTTGAACATAATATGTTTATTGTATTATATTTTTCATATTGTACTGAATTATACAATTGCTATCATCTTGAAATTTTGTATATTATTATATTATTTTAAATTTTTATAACTTGTATCCGATCTTATTGTATATTAAGACAATAAAATTTGTTTAAACTAACTGTTAAATGAATTTTGTGAAGAAAGTTAACGTACTATTAAATTTTACAAAAAAAAAATCCATTGTTATCTTTTTTATAGAAGTTTTATAGTTTTAATAATGTATCACTTTGAAATAAGCTAATGTGTTTTGAATTTTGAAGCCCCCAGAATGTCGGCAATACTGGCAAACGACTTAAGAACAATATGTCATATAATTGTTCCCGTACTTTCGCGTATACTATTGTAAGTCCACACTGAAATGATTTTTTGGGTAAGCCTCGCCAGCGCTGTACGGCAAAGTTCGCAACCGGACATGGCTCAAATGAAAGGTAATAACTTGGGGAAGGCCACACTGAAATGAATTTTTGGGAGTTAGGCCCATTCGGAAATTGTTGGGGTTCAAAGTTGCTGCTAAGGAAAAAAATATGTATACACCCTACATTCTTTCGGTAAGCCTCGCCAGCGCTGTACGGTAAAGTTCGCCACCGGACATGGCTCAAATGAAAGGTAATAACTTGGGGAAGGCCACACTGAAATGAATTTTTGGGAGTTAGGCCCATTCGGAAATTGTTGGGGTTCAAAGTTGCTGCTAAGGAAAAAAATATGTATACACCCTACATTCTTTCGGTAAGCCTCGCCAGCGCTGTACGGTAAAGTTCGCCACCGGACATGGCTCAAATGAAAGGTAATAACTTGGGGAAGGCCACACTGAAATGAATTTTTGGGAGTTAGGCCCATTCGGAAATTGTTGGGGTTCAAAGTGTTTAGGTTTTTACTATACAATTTTTGGGACAGGTGGGGGCTTTCCATAAATATTTCTATTGATATTTTTTAAATGTTTCTAGCGTTAAGGTTATATTTCTATTGTTTTAAGAAATATTGTATATAAAATACATCTTCAATGTTGTTTTATTTATAAAAACTATATTTTACATAAAGACAATTATGCAACTTACATAAGGGATTATATTCGAGGACAACGAGAATTTACGACAGCTTGAAGGGGTCATAAAACGATTTCCTACGTATTTTTTCACTCCTCTTAATCCTCAATTTTTTATGATTTTCAAATAAGTTTGAATATTGAACCGACTGCTCACAGCTAGTTGAATATAGAATATCGAACCGGCGGCTAACTGCACATATATTAGTTATGCAGAAACTAGATATTTCTATACACATTGACACCAATATGCCGGATTTAGAAATCAAGCTAGTGAGTGCTTTCAGTTACTGACGTCATTTGTGTTGGTTTGTTCAACGTTCACTTCTAAGGCTGAACATCTGTGGTCATTTAGACGTTAAAAAATAATACATATCGTATTGGTAGCTATAATTTCGAAAAAAAAGTGGCTGCTATCATTATTGGTATTTAAAACGAAAAAATCCTTTGAGAATCACTACAAGCCGTGAAATTGTCGAATTCCGCTCTTAAATTACATTTAACTTAGATTTTGAGATTTTTGGAACATTCGAGTCTGTTATAGTTTTTGGGTTTTTAGAGATATCATCAAAATTGGCTGCTGGAAAAAAGTGGCTGCTATCTTGATTGGCTGCTAAAAGTGGCTGCCAGCTTGAGTCTAGTATTCGTTAAAGCGGAAATTTATGAACACAATATTGCATTCTATATGAGAGGTTGGTTGGTGCTTTAGTATGTAAGAATTTATGTCAGTCAATTGAGGTCCAGCATAGCAGTTAAGATTTGTATCCTTCCATATCACTTTACATGATCGACCGTACTTTGATATATAATTGTTTACTTTTTACACATTGTGACTTGGATGGAGAGTTGTCTCATTGGCACACATACCACATCTTCTTATTTCTTTTAAGTTTGATAATTGGAGACCTTTATTGAAATTCCAAACCTAATTGCACTTATACATGTACATCAGAATTGCTGCATAACAGCACAATTAGTCCTAAACACGATTAAAAATGGATAGATTATACAGAAGACCAAATACATAAATGCACAAAGAGAGGCAATTTAAAGTGCTCCTTATGATTTTAAATTTAGTCATCATTTAAGCTCATGCGATGAGCTCCAGTTGCTTTATCTTCAGCATTTTTGAATATTTTTGTTATTTTTATTTTTACAATACATCGTTGATGGATAACATAACCTCAACATACTTATTATAATTTCGTGGATATTCTGTTATCCAAACATGTCACTAAAGTGAAAACAACATCTATAGAAACCATACTACATATTGCAGGAATTATTTACGTGTAAAACTTTAATACGAATTTTTCTAAATTATTCCTTATTTATTTACACTGTTGTAGTCTGTGTAATGGATATGATTTGTAGGTCATTCTTCAACTGGCTTTTGACAATCTTAATTGAAATGAATCGTAACGCGATAGTGATGTGTAGTGATATGATATTTTCCAGATAAGCTTTTCTTTTATGTTTTAAGAATTCACAAGTATTCCGGATTAGGACAGACCTTTCCTGTGCAAGGTGGTCACCACTATCAATGCAGTGCTTATATAAAAGTACATTTCAATACACAAGGAAAATTATTTGCAAATCTTCATATGTTTGTAACCTACAAAACAACAGACGGTAAGTCCAGCATACTTTCAGTGTTATTTTATAATTTTATAATCAATTTTTCGTCTTTACAAAGTAGATCACATATAAATATATATATATATTGGCTTGTTGTGAACATGAGAAAGCTACTGACGTGTTGTTCAAAGCATTTACTATTAACTCATATTTAGGTTGTGGAATAAAGAATGATTGTGGTGTCTATTAGTATTTTGATAATTATTAATTTACATCGGACCATACATAGAAAATGCTCTTTGTGCTCACTTGAGCATTATCAGTCAGAAAGAATTTTCATTTGTACATCATCTTACAATTTTGTCAGTCTTTTAACATTTATCAGAAGGCAACATGAACGGATTGTCAATGCCCAGCAAAATTGGTATCTTTCCACTTGTTTAATTTTTAACTGCCTTGCTTTGATTATATACAGGAACTTCACACTACAAACAATTCGCAAACGATCAGTATCACCAAAAAGAATTCAACTGGGAAGAAATTGGTGGCGATTTTTATATACCTTCCGGTAAGTTACATGGTAATTCCAACTATAGGTTTTGGAAATGCTGCTTATCAGTTAGATTTTGTCTATCAATAGCATTTGTTTTATGATTTATTATATCAGATTTGTCTGTTATTTGTATGCTCCTTTTTACAGCGGATGACCTTGAAGGCATTCCGGTGTTATGTTGCGGCAGACATTTCTACCCACGTGACTTGCGTTTTTGACTGATAACCGTTCGAACGTATTTCGTATAAATACGCGGATATTATCGAGTGCAAAATAACATTCCTTATCGCTTGTTATATAAATTCATTTCTTCAATGAATACTCATGAAAATATTATTTAAGAACATAAATAAATAATATGAAAATGTTTTGTCGTGAGAAATATATATAGATATATATATAAGTGAAAAATCATTAATATCTATGCACATGTACCGAAAAATTGTGTTTGCGAATGAATATCCCTTATCGCTTGGTATATATTAATTTCATCAATACATATTCATTAGCGGGAGAATTATGAATGCCTACTCAAATCAAACCTATTAGATAGGTAGAGTTAGAGTTATTAAGATGATCTGCTATATATATAACTGTTGTACAAATATTAATATAATATATAACAACAAACCAGATTATACTGATAACAAATTATTGTCCCATGATTATATCACTACAATATAATAATTATTACGGTGAGGTTGAATTCTCTGTCATTTATTCATCATCCACACAGGAACTTGTCTCAGAAAAATAAATAAATCTATGTACCTTAACCTAACTTTCAGGTATAGAGATATTTTATTTTTTCTGAGACAAGTGCCTGTGACTATCCACCACAACTTGCGGTCATCCGATGTTCAGTACTTCAGTACTTTGATTTATATTTGAATTTGTAAAGAATTAAAATTAATGTTTTGCATGTTTGAGATTAGTTGTCCTCTATATCTAATGTTGTTGTGTCATGTTTATTACTTTATAGGCGTAAGCAGTGCCAAAGTGTACATACAGATAAACGACCATTCTGTTGTCTACACTTTGGATCATGCAAGCTGTCAACAAATACCACACGATTCTCAATGGCAAATAAAAGCTACAGACAGAATAGAAAATACTAGGAAAGGGAGATTAAACATAAAGTAAGACTTGGATAGATTACTGAGTCACACCCAATGCGACCTACACTTCCATAAACATCGCTTGGCCATACCATTGATTTGTATCTCGTATACACTATTTATTATTTTTATTTTACCGCCTTATTCTTCTTATTGGGATGTTTTAAACTGTCTGTCAGTTTTTTTTTTTAAAAATACTCGTAGATTAAAGCTTAAAAGATACAAAAGGTTGCAAAAGATAAGAAGCACATGATAATTATAATGTCTAAAAAGCGAAAAATTCATAAGAATTGAACATCATAGAAAACATTTACAAACACATGTTTATATATTTGAAAACATTGACTGACTTCTTTTAAATACGTCCAATCACCTTGCATATGCGTACAATAAGCACTGAAAATGAGTAGTAGTTATGCAAAGTCCCAAATACGACTTATCAAGGCCTCTTTAGTTCAAATTGCCAATGATATTTCAAAGATGTTTATGTACAATGTGTTTACAAAAGGGTAGTTTAGAAGCTATGTGAATAATAAGGGCCACATTCGATGCCAAACAGAGTCAGCACATGTAAATCTGAGAGATTCAACTTTATAAAAAAAAATAAAACCCAAAATCACATCTATTCTTCATTAGAAAAAGGTACTGTAATTCAGAATTTTTGCGATGTTTTAATAATTGGGATAAAGTGATTGGATGGGTTTGGACAACAATATAAATTCGCATTTTTACTATTGACATCATTATTTATATGCAAACTTATCCCGACTGAATTGTAATAATTAATCTCGCATTTTTTTTACCATGATTGAAGAATCGCAATGATAAATGCACGCAATAATTTCTGAGTTTATAGTAAACAAAACACAATACAGGGATGCTATTCATAGACAAGAATAATTCAGGAATACAATAGCTACATTAAAAAGGCTCTTATTTTTATGCACGAAGTCTTAACCTCAGATTCACCGAGGGTATCCCCAGCCCACAAGTCAGCACTCCTGTGCTGACATGATATATCATTGGTTTGGTTATTTTCTGGAAAAAAAATAAAATCACAAAAATACCAAGGAAAATTCAAAACGGAAATTCCCTTATCAAATGGCAAAATCAAAAGCTCAAACACATCAAACGACTGGAAAACAACTATCATATTCCTAACTTGGTACAGACATTTCCTTGTGTAGAAAATGGTGGATTAAACCTGGTTTTAAAGCTAGCTAAACCTCTCACTTGTATGACAGTCGCATAGAATTTATTATTTTGAATTTACTGTTCATAACATATATAATCTTTCGGAACACTTAAGTTTTTCTACCCCAAGCAAAGATAACATTAACCAGGTTTGACATAAAGTTTTGAAATTTTTGATTTACGGTGCCATTCTACTTCGCAATTTATTTGGCCTTTTTACCATTTTGATCCAAGCGCCACAACTGAGTCTTATGTAGAATTGTCTGTCGTACAAATTATAAGCCCCGTATCTTTATACATTTTGGCAATAAAAATATAAAATTACATTTAATTTCGTTTTGTGTATTGTGATTTTGTAGAATTACTTCTGATGGACAACTTGATACAAATGGACTCATAGTTCAGGTAATGTTATGGAATAATGACACTTTTTATCTTTATCATTTCTTTATTATTAAAGTTAAATGGACACTGAAATGTAGGAATTTCGTAATTATAAATAAGATGTAACTATGATTACTACAAACGGAATACAAGTTTATTTCTAGAATTAACTGTACAAATGAACACGCTATTGTGACATCAATTTTATTTTAATTTCTGTATTTCCATTCTATTTATATATTTGGTCTTAATTTGTAGATAAAACAGACAAAAAGTAAATTTGCCTTTGGAACAGCATTCAGAGCACAATATGTTACCGACAGCATCCACAAAGCTTACCAGGATTTTCTGTATAACAATTTTGAATGGGTGGTTCCTGAAAATTCTCTGAAATGGAAACAGATGGAATGGTCGAGAGTACTTATTCACATGATTTATTTTAGTATTTACAAGACAAAAAAAAAAAAAACAAAAAAAAAAAAAAAACAACTGTTACCGTTTTTCCAATAATCATTTAAGAAGAAGATTTAAACTTAATTATTTCATTATGAAAATTTGTAAGTGACAAAGTGTTGATAAAGCTCAGTAGTCAGTGCTTCTGTACTGACATGATTAATAACGTACCTTTCTAAAATTTTCCGTTTATAAATTTAACAATTATAAAGAAACTAAGGTTTCAACTCCCTCAGGCAAAGTTGACCTTAGATGGATTTGGCTATTTTTTAAGTACTTTTTTGTTATATAGCTCTTCAACTGTTTCGGTTCTTATACATCCTCAGCTTTCAAATATTCGGCTTTGGGCGTTGCTGATGAAGGAATATCTAGAAAAGCGCTTCGGACGCATGAAATTAATAACGTGTTGTTTAAATTTTTTTTGTATGCTTGTTTGCACGAAACATATTTAAAATATTTTCTGGAATAGAACCCTGATTTCCTGCTCGCTTATTTCAAAGATTTATAGATTACCGGTGTATAGATGTCCTTAACTTTATTCGAAATAGAAACTTTGTGTAATGTAAGATGACCATCTTGTTTTAGTTGTTATTGGCTTTGAACTAGCTTTCAGTAACTGCTAGTACTCTCAGATCTGTACTTTGTGTCTTTTCTGTTGTTTTTAGTTTTTTTGTGCTTTGTATCGAATTGTTTATTATAGTTTATATAAAAATAAGGAAATGTGGTAGGATTGCCAATGAGACAACTATCCACCAAAGTTCAAATGAAGTCGATGTAATCAATTGTAGGCAACCGTACGGCCTTCAACAATGAGAAAATTCTATGATTTCCATATCGTATAGTCGGCAATAAAAGGTTCCGACATGAAAAATATGAGGCAATTCAACTGAGAAAACTAACGGCCATATTGTTGTACTGTTACACCACTGTCCCAGGTTAGGGGAGGGAATGGCGTCAGCATACATGTTTAACCCCGCCACATTCTATATGTGTCTGTCCAAAGTCAGGAGCCTGTAATTCCTTGGTTGTCGTTTGTTGCTGTATATCTTATTTGCTTTTCATTTAATGTTTTGTACATAAATCAGGCCGTTAGTTTTCACGTTAGAATTGTTTCACATTTTTCCTTTTGGGGTCTTTTATTGCTTCCTCTGCGGTATGGGTTTTGCTCGTTGTTGAAGGCCGTGCGGTAATCTATAGTTGTACACTTTTACGTCATTTGGTCTCTGTTGAAGAGTTGTCTCATTGGCAATCATACCACATCTTTTTATTTTATATCATTATTTTTACACAAATGAATACGATTTAAAGACATTATTTAATCATTTGAGCACAATGTTAGTCCATGGAGGGATACAATGATTTTTTGGATACACAAAAAGGTTTTTTACCTTATAGTCAAAATATTATCGTATTATGGAATAAAAGTTTTCAGTATGCTGTTCACATTATTTTTGCTTAATGACAGGATACATTGATATACCAATTTGATTAAGCCAGTACAAATTCCTGGTTCCCTCCATCAGAATGGAAATAATGCTTACAACCCTTTTCAAATTATTTTAAAATGGTGATAATGGAGCGGTTTTTAGGGAATTTTGCAAATACAAGATTTTTTTTCGTGGCAAGTATTACACTCTTTTTTTCTTGTTACTTTTAGTTACTTGCCCCCAGATGTGAAGTGATCATATTTACCTTTTCCCTCACGTCAATTTTACAGAGAGCTAATGTATTGTATCTCAATATTTTTGAATTGATTATGATCCTTTAATTCATGGTTGCTGTATATTTTAGGGTCATGTAAATTATGATAAAGGAATTGATGCAGTGAAAGCCGTTAAGGCACATGGGTAAATACATTTATTTTATTTAAAAAGTATACCGCTGTTCAATAGTCATAAATCGATTTAACTGAAACAAATCCGGGTCACAAACAAAAACTGAGGGAAACACATCAACTATAAGAGGAAACAAAACTGAACAACAGAAACACTGAACTGCTACAAAAACAAACGCCAACATACATATAAAACGGACTATGTGATAACAATTGCCATATTCCTGACTTGGTACAGGACATTTTAAGAACAAATGGTGGGTTCAGTGAATGTTAAAAATACCGCTAAAATGACAACATTACGTGACAGGAATAAAGTACAAATAAATGCAAGAACATCCAGGACAGAGAACAGCAAAACTACGACACAAAAATACAAAAGGCATATTGAAGATTTAGATTTTTTTATAATTATGCCAACCTATAAGCAAGCCTCTATGTAAAGTAAGAGTGAGATATTTAAAATATTCTTTTTTACAGTAGTAAAATGCTTAACAAACTACCCGAACAATTGAAAAAAAAAGACAAACAAAAAATGATTCAGAATACAGTGATTGGTATAGATTGGTTTGACGACTGTGTCTGTTTTTAATTTGTTTTTGATGCGGCGTAAAGCAAACACCAATGAATCAATCAAAACTTTGTTTTGCGTGAAATAAAAATTAAAAAATTTACCAGCCAGCCATAAAGAAAACACATAAAATTAACTTAACATGCGTACAGTTTGGTATAAATTTTGACAACAGCATTATTCTTGATCAAATTTTTAATATAGCAAACTACGCATTAGTAAATACTATTTTTTATTTAGAGCCATGTGAGAATTTAGGTTAAATATATTACTAAATTTTTTGGTTTGGAACACAGACCTTCAAAAACATACCGGCAAGCTGGCGCATAACAAATGGAAAATTCAAATTCGACCTTGTGTTTTGGTTAGAAGAATTATAAGTATCGATGCAAGCACAAGTAACAGTTTCGGAATCTAGCTTTAAATAAAATATAATCTAGTAAATCTTTGATAATCTTTTGTACATTAAAAATGATCTTAATCTTTCAAACTCAAATACAAAACTTTTCATTGCCAATAATATGTTGTTGTGTAGCATTACTGCTTATTAAGAGTAGTGTTGCATACTTTCAATTCAGTTTTTTTCTTTATAAGGTTTCATCAATTTCTATCGTCACCAAAAGTAACAACACCAAATAGAATTTTGGGAACATTACACCACAATACTTTTGTAAAGATGTACCGATCACTATTTAGAAAATACTTCCTTCTTATAACATGTTTTAATTAATACAAACAAAATTATGGACATTAATGCAATTTTAAGCTATAAGTGTATAAATTTCTACTTTAGAATGAAGGTACGAGGACATAACATGTTTTGGGGAGTTCCCTCTCGTCTTCCACGTTGGTTGACAGGGTTGTCATCTACTGAGCTTTTACAGGAATTATATGATAGAGTCAATGGAATGATAGCCAAATCTAGAGGAATGTAAGCCTTTGAACTAAATAAAAAAAACTATTGTTGCATTTAGTTCCAACAGGAGTGCAAATGTACAAATAATTTGTTGAAAAATCTACCCAAACAAATAATCCAATCTGTTTATGATGAATTCCAGCAAAGTGATCACGTTTATCAACGAGATACAATAAAAAAAATATGGAGATGTGGCATGATTGCTAATGAGACAACTATCCACCAAAGTTCAAATGAAGTGAATGTAAGCAATTATAGGCTACCGTACAAGTTTACCTTTACAATAACTGTAGTAAAATATATCGTAACTTTGATTAAAACGAAAGACTAAGGACAACGCTCCAAAACGTTTTACATACTGTGAAATAATTGCATTTGATTTGATAGTTTTATGAATAATATCAAAAATGATAAACAAAGTATCGGGGTTTTTCTTTTGAGTTCGTTTCCAGGTTTTATTGATACAGTCTGTGCATGCAAACTGTAATCCAACTATGTAATGCATTATACTCTATATTATAAATTAGGTTGGAGCATTGGGATGTAAACAACGAAAATTTACATGGTGACTTTTTCGAGCAGCATTTGCCAAATCCAAATGTTACCAATGATATGTTTCGATGGATACATAATGCAGAACCAAATGTCAAGTTGTTTCTGAATGAATTCAATGTTGTATCATCATCTATATCTACAACGGTTTGTATGCATAACAAATCATTTACAATAAAAAACTTAAATAAATGGAAAAAACATGATATATTTTTACACTTATAAATTAAAAAAAAAACATTTTGTAACGACAAAGAATGCAGTTAAACTAGGAAACTATGGAATTAATAATTTTATATGAATTAAAGTATGTCGCAGATATCATTTTGTCGAGGTGGTAAGTTATATTTCAATAAATGCAAAGAATTTGAGTATTGTTATTGACTACACCCAACATCGTGACAGTGGTTTCAAAGCTGCTTGTCAATTTCAACTTTATTTTGAATTAGGTTTAAACAATCTGATTATGTAGAAGCCCCTTTTGTTGTCTATACTTCGTTGTCATTTATTCATGACAATGTCATTCGATGTGTTTAAGCATCACCGCTATTTAACACTTTGTACATTGGATACCAATGACAGTTTGTCCCGCCTTCACAAATTGATTGACAACTGTATTTTGAACGTCATATCGGGACACTTTTATACATGGATTCAAAATATATCTATTAAATTAGAAATAATTTTCAGTAGAAAATCCAAATAAACTACTTTTTCCATTTCATTTCAAAACAAGCAATGCATTTTTCAAGACATTTAGTCAAACATTTTATGTTGTTTTAAAACGCATCCTCTTCCAAAAAAGGAAAAAAAAAATCGTTGCATAAGAGAGAAAATTTCAGGATGATATATTTAGTACCGATGTTTTCAAATACTAATCAACTGTGAAAGATATTCTGGAGTCGTAAATTTTACGGGATCCATTGATTTCATTTAAATAGGAGTTGTTACATTGTACTTGCTTGAAAATAGTGCGTATAAAGGGAAAGTTCTCTTTTGCAATAAAAGTCAGGAAAAACGTGCCTCTCTTTGTCAATTGAAATTTATACATTTTCGCTACGTGCGTGAATATACTTTTGTAAAAGAGGCAATGCATTTCACACACTAGTCTTAAATGTTAATTTTTAGTAAAAACTCACGATGTCTTTTGTGAACAAAAATGTGATAGATAAAAAAAAATCCGTTTTCGTCGGATATTCTTCGGTGCAAAAAGATGCGGACAATTTCCCCTGTATTTTTTTTTTACTTGCAAGCTAAATATCTAAAATTTTGCCTCGCTAACCAAATTTAATTAGTTTGAATCTGAAAGACATTACATTATAAACCTTCTTTATCATGGTAAATTGGTAATATTTATGTACTTTCGAACTTATTCTTTGGATAAAGAACGTCTGTGGTGTAATTTACAACGCACAAAAATATGTTTAACTCGCATTATTTATGTGCCTGTCCCAAATCAGGAGATTGTATTTAAGTGGTTGTCGTTCGTTGCTGTGTATCATATACTGACGGACTTTAGAAACGCAACACACATTTTTGTGGTTTTTTTTTTTTTTACAAAATCATACTTCTTTATGTTTAGAAAAATTCAACACCTGACTTACCTGAGATTATTAAAAATACTGATTATTGAAGTCGCACGAATTTCTTTGAGCGAAATTTGAAACCCATAATTGATTGTTTTAAGGTTTTTTTTTCGTGAAACAATTCTTTCCATACATTCCCACACTTGAATCATTAAAAAAATGTTGCATCTCTATATTGCCGAAACTGAGCAACGAAAATCAAACAATAAGAATATTGCAGGCTGCAATACATAAACGTGCTGTTTCCAAACAATTTCACATCAGAAACTCGCCTTACTGTCCTTACAACAATGGTACAGGCAGATGAGATTTATTGATGACCATCCATGACCAGATCAACATGTAGGGACAATGCCACGTCAATAAAATTAGATTATGCAACGTCATTTGCGAGACATGTTTACGGCCACAACGGCAACTGCTAATCTTGTCGCTGAATGCCATGGCAGACAGATTCATGCTAAAAATATTTCCCATATACTGAAATGCCAAAGAATTTTCGGCATAAAAACATTTGAAGCCCAAAAGTTTAATCCGTTTTATTGCCAAAACACACTGTAATGCATTGGACAGAAGGAAAATCAGAAGTTACAAAAAAAACTCAAAACATGCCCAACAGACTTGGTTGACCTTTCTGACAATCGTTTTGGCGTTGGTTACAGGCAGTCATTGCCTTCGACGGTGACACATCTATTGATAAGGGGAAAACCAGGGTTTCAGTGCATACCACATGATTTGAACATTAAAAATGACGTCATCGGTTCAACTTTCGGAATGCAAACACTTTTTAGACATAAAGAAATGAATGAAATTCATGTTTATGTCTTTTTTTTTTTAACAAAAATTGCATATTTGAAAATGATAATAAAAAAGAATAATCTAGTGTTGCGTTGTTAAAGTCCGTCAGTATATTTGTTACTCGTTTGTTGTTTTGTGCATAAATCAGGCTTTTGTTTTCTCGTTTGGAATGCTTTACATTTTGTTATATCTGGGCCTTTTATGACTTGCTTATTGCGGTATGGGTTTTGCTTATTGATGAAGGCCGTACGTTTTTTAATCGGATATTTTTACGTTGAATACAAACGATATGAACCTACAAAGTTTTATATTATAGGACTAGGGGTGGAGTGATTTTTTTATAAAACAATAAAATATACATAATTGAGTTTCAATCAAGTTGAAATGACAGCAAATTACTACATAGATAATATTTTTATTCAAATGATACATACATTGTACCTCGATCCCTTGAATCGTCAATTTATCAATTAAAAATGAATTTGTTAAATATTTGCAATTCTTATAAAATCACAAAACCTGCAGATTTTTTTTATTTCTTTATGTGGAATGACTACAAAAAGGGGGTGTATACGACTGGCCAAACTTAATCTACAATTCATGTTCGTTACACTTTCAATACTGAAACAATCAGAGATATCAATATATTTTTTTTTCAAATATCGAATACTGGTTCCCAACCAAATGTCTAAATATATCTGGAATATTTTCCCTCATATTGACAGCTATCTGAGGTCAGTTCATATAGTAGCCTGGGATCCTGGCCAATTGATCGACAGGATTGGGTCAGTACGCCAGGTTAAGTTCATAGGACATCAGTTTAATATAGGCGTGACAATCCATCACTTTTATCCAATCAACTGTCCTTTATGATAAAGATTGGCGTGCGATTGTAGTCGAAACAATGTAATTTATACGAGTTACATCAATATCAAAAGGTAATGTACTTTATTGTGGAAGCTGTGGACTACTGGTTCAAAATAAAATTGATTTCGACAAGTTGCTTTGTAACCACTGTCATGATGTTGGGTTTAAACATACTATCTGTTTGATAGGCTTACACAAACCAAGGAAAACGGTTCAGAATTGATAAGGTGCCTATTTATGGTATGGGCATACAAAGTCACCTTCCGTCCAGTACCATTAACATGGATTCACTAAAGGTATTTTTGAGTTAGTTAAAAAGCATTAAAAAGCATACTTATGTAATCCAATATAAATTTGTCATTTCTGTCACCAACTTTTAATGTAACCTGCTTATTTGTTTGAGAAGCGTCTATCGCAAATTAAGTACAAACTTTTATTATTGAACAGATTGTATTCCTTTTGCATAAAACCATAACGATTTGTTGTGTATTTTACTTCGACGACATATGGTCTAGATAGGCAAATGAAGGGTTTTGTGTGTTTTACTTAGACGACATATGGTCTAGATAGGCAAATGAAGGGTTTTGTATGTTTTACTTGGACGACATATGGTCTAGATAGGCAAATGAAGGGTTTTGTGTGTTTTACTTAGACGACATATGGTCTAGATAGGCAAATGAAGGGTTTTGTGTGTTTTACTTAGACGACATATGGTCTAGATAGGCAAATGAAGGGTTTTGTGTGTTTTACTTAGACGACATATGGTCTAGATAGGCAAATAAAGGGTTTTGTATGTTTTACTTGGACGACATATGGTCTAGATAGGCAAATGAAGGGTTTTGTGTGTTTTACTTAGACGACATATGGTCTAGATAGGCAAATGAAGGGTTTTGTGTGATTTACTTGGTCGACATATGGTCTAGATAGGCAAATGAAGGGTTTTGTGTGTTTTACTTGGACGAGATATGGTCTAGATAGTCAAATGAAGGGTTTTGTATGTTTTACTTGGACGACATATGGTCTAGATAGGCAAATGAAGAGTTTTGTGTGTTTTACTTAGACGACATATGGTCTAGATAGGCAAATGAAGGGTTTTACTTGGACGACATATGGTCTAGATAGACAAATGAAGGGTTTTACTTGGACGACATATGGTCTAGATAGGCAAATGAAGGGTTTTGTGTGTTTTACTTGGACGAGATATGGTCTAGATAGGCAAATGAAGGGGTTTGTATGTTTTACTTGGTCGACATATGGTCTAGATAGGCAAATGAAGGGTTTTGTTTGGTTTACTTGGACGACATATGGTCTAAATATGAAAATGAAGGGGTTTGTGCGCACGTAAAACTGGTTTAACCAATTGCATTTTTTACCTGTACCAAGTCATGTTATCTGGCTTGTATGTTTGTATGCCTATTTCCCGGAGGAATCGAGTGATGGCGTAGTCTTTTGTGTCGTCCTATTTTTTTGATATTCCTGTTATTCTTTTACATAGGCATTTTTGTAATGTTCAACACCAATAGCGGTTCCATGCAATACATGTCATTTCATCTAATACATGTCATTTCATACTTTTCGAATTCATACTGAGAATATGTTCACAGCATATCTCTTTGAGTTGTTGATTTTGCTTTTTTGTTCAGTAGACTAGGGAAATCAACATTATCTTAGTTTACTTTCATTTTAATGAGTAACAATGGTTATTAGCCACTAAAAACATGAGAATGAGTGAAAAATACGAGCCCCAAAAATATCGGGATTAAGTTAGGTCCAAGAGTGACAGCGACAAATAATGAATTTCAGATATTCTTTCGTGTTGACAGGAAGTATATTCCCATGTTTAAGATATATTCACCTCATTCGAGTATTTCGATTCATGTTATTTTTTATATTATCATTCTTTATATTTCTCAGTGTTCTGTTTTGAATTTTTCAAAGCAGTTTGCATGGTTAACTGGTAACGGTCAAGAACTCTAATTCAATATACATATTCACTTATCTTCTCTCTTCTGTGATTTTTTTCCGTCGTTCTCCTTATACATAATGGGTTTTCGTCGTCCTCCTAATACACATGTATCGAATTTTTCTAAACAGCTAAAAATAATTTCGATTTAAAAATCTTCCATAAACAGTCAAATTAGGTATTTGAATTTTCAACGCCACACAAATAAGTCATCGCAATTTGGTTAAAAAGTTACTTGGCAAGAAAAAATAATTATTGCAGCAAAGGTTTTCAAAATGATGATACATATTACAATGTGAGCTTTTGCTGAATATTTTGCTTCATATAAATAAGAAGATGTGGTATGAGTGAATTTACATGTTATTATTTTAAGTATAGGTTAGACAAAGTAGCTGAATCTGGTCTGCCGATATGGATAACAGAGCTAACAATAATGGACTCCAATGAAAGCAATAAAGCTGCAGCACTAGAAGATGTGATGACCATGTTCTTCAGTCATCCAGCAATAGAAGGAATTTTACTATGGGGATTCTGGGACGGTGCAGCATACGATAGAAGACTGGCATTAGCAACCGGAAGTAGTGTCACGGTAAAACGTTTACTGCATGGTCATATTTAATGAATTTCTTTTTTCTTTAAAGTCATACAGAACCATTTTCTTGTAATTATAAAGTTATGGAAATTATTGAACCAAGACATGCAAAGGAACTTACTTTAAATAAATCTAGCATAAACAGTAGTAGTTGTCCTTTTCTAGATTTAGACATTTCAATTTTTAAAGGGAAACTCCATACTAAAATTTACGACAAAAGAGACGATTTTTCATTCCCTATTGTTAATTTTCCTTTTTTTTAGACGGCGATTTTCATTTGGCTCCATCATACGGTGTTTATATATCCCAACTCGTTCGTTATGCCCGTGTGTGTAGTGATGTCATAGATATTAACGAACGTAATCAATGCATCACTGGTAAATTATTAGTACCTGTAGAAAACTTATTAAAAACGGTATTTCACATCCTAAATTTTACGGTAATGTTGTACTAAAAGCGCGAAAATCACTATATGATCCGTGTAAACTCATCGAACCCTCCAATAAACTTATTAGTAAAGGTTATCTTACCAATGTTGTTATTAGATCTTGAATATTGTTTACATTGGCACAAATATCGATTTTGTCATCAGCAAATTAAAACATAACTAAATTTGTATTCTTTTCAAACGGTTTTTGGGGATGTATAAATACACAACCACGTTCATTTTCTACATAGAGATTACTATATATTACATTATACATATTTATTAACAGGTTAACTCCTAATTATCCTACTGCCTGTCGATACTTTTATTTTGGCATTGCACAAGTCATGTCTTCTTTGACTGTCCATGACGTCAAAACACTAAATCACTGGGATGTGTTTTAGTTGATTTTAGTCTCTGGTGCATGATTTTTTATTATTAATTGTTTTTGACTTTTAACTAGCTTTCAGTAACTGCGAGTACTCTCAAATCGTACTGTTGTGTTAATTTGACCTGTTGATACAATTTGTAATGTATTTTTGTTAGTTAATGTTTACCTATTCAGTGTTATATCTAGCCTCACTATTTTTAATATATACCACCTCTGAAAGTGTTTAGTATGACGATAAATTTTCACTTTTGTTCTCGTACTAGGAACAACAAAATTATTTATTATGTAAAAATTTATTTCCGTACTCCATGTATACCTTACAAAAATTGTTTTTATTTACCTGTGTACGTTATTTTACTTGGCGGCATTTTGTCCAAGGTTATGGTTGTCTTTCTGGTATTGTTTTACATCTAACCCCCTTGTTTTATCAATTTTGTATTTTAAATTACATTGTGTCATAGATCAAATTTATTCGTTCAGTGTATGTTCACTTGTGTTTTTTAATATGTCTTTTGATTGAGTTAAGCCATTTCAATTGATATTTTATAGTGTGTTTTTCTATGTTGTGATGTTACACTATTGTTTCAGGTAGGGTGAAGGTTGGCGCCTATTAAAACGTTTAAACCCGCTGCATTTGTTTGCACCTGTCCTAAGTCAGGAACCTGATGTTCAGTGGTTGTCGTTTGTTGATGTGGTTCATCAGTGTTTCTCGTTTCTCGTTTTTTATATAGATTAGACCGTTGATTTTCCTGTTTGAATTGCTTTACACTAGTCATTTTTGGGGCCCTTTATAGCTTGCTGTTCGGTGTAAGCCAAGGCTCCGTGTTGAAGGCCGTGCTTTGACCTATAATGGTTTACTTTTACAAACTGTAACTTGGATGGAGAGTTGTCTCATTGGCACTCATACCACATCTTCTTATATCTACATATACTTAAATAAGTCCTGTAAGCACGTTTTAACATTTATTACGAACCCGTAATGTATAATCGACAAAAAATATTTCATTCAGTGGAGGTTGATCGCAAACTTCAGCTTTTAATTAACCTTTGTGTTTGTTGCCGAAGTTTAACTTATAGTGACATTGATAAACAATCAATACAGAATCACATGGAGCACGTGAAAAATAAGTGAGTTGATAGAACTTTGTTAATTATATTTGATATTTTTCCATTCATTTCCATTTGTTAAATAAACTTTGCCATAACAGTTGTTAAATGATTTTGTGTATGAAATTGTTAGAATGAACCAACACTATTTTCCTTGCAGTACACGTTTTTACATTCTTTAATTACGGCTTTTCTTTTACCAAAAAGTCCATATACACTTGTTTAGTTAAACTAAAAAGTTCAATTAGCAGTTTCATATGACTTTAAATCTGGTTTAGGAAACGTTAGTCATTGCCTATATTTAATTTGAATGGATGTATTTCCAAACTTTATTTTTCTTTGGAACAAAATTCATATTTTAGCAAGGAATATTTGAGTCTTGTCGTTTCTTAATTTTTTAATTGTTAATTCATTTTTTAAACGTCTTCTCTCTTAAGCTCATTTGATTAAATCATTTGGGTGCATTGATGTACAGGAATTTTCCTATAATAACTTGCGAATTTATGTGACTAAGTATGTGAATAATAGAATAATGCCATGTTTGAAGTAATACGGCATACTTATTTAGTAATGTATGCATTTTATGCGAAGTAGGCCATTGTCCATTGTGGTAAATATCTATATCTCTGTTTAGACATCTTACAAAATACACTAATCCTTACTTTTGAATGAAAACTACAAACTTTGCTATATTTTTGCATCAGTAAGAGATAAAACTCTGAAACAACAAAACCCAATGGGTTGACTGGGTATATAATTATGGTCACCCCTAGACTTATCCGGTCCGGTAGTAAAGCCTATGCTAAAATTGGCCGTCATTTTTGGTTGTTTTTGATGTATAAATAAGCAACCTATTTCGGTCGGAATATGGACGGAGGAGTTTGGAGATTGATTAGTAAATAAAACTCAAGAATTTCGATAACTTCAATTTTCAATTTTTAAATATTAAATTTTAATTTTCCAGCCAAATGCCGCAGGGAGGAAATGGCAGGAGTTATTTCATCAAAGATTCCGTACAAATGAAACTCATGCATTGAGTGGACAAACATCAATCAGTCAAAAAGTGTTTTATGGGGATTACCAGCTAATATTCAGAAAGAATGGAGTTATAGTACACACAGAAAATATAAACATGGACCAAGATGGGCAGAATATAATCATAAATTTATAACCATAACTCAATATTAAAAAAAGAACACGATAGACGTTCCTATATTGTATCACTGAAATTATTAAAATTATTAGTTACTACAATGCCACTTAGTATTTACATGCTTGATTTTTGGATTTTTTTGTTAACTCATTATCCCTTGTTTATATTCTGTCTTTATATTCTTTAACTGAGAATAATAACAAGAAATGTATGATTTTCCAATGTGACAACTTTTCATAAAAGACTAAAAGACGTGAAAGAAAATAGCTCCACATTTTGTTTACGGCCTTCATCAAGGGGGACAGACCAATAGTTAGTATAATCCAACAGGTATCGAAATAAGAATTGCCACCAATCATAACAAATGAAAGGACAAGAATAATCGTCAATCATTACAAACAAAAGTGGACGCAGCTATTTAAAAATACATGATAACCGATAAATTTTCATAAGCTAAGAATTGAAACAGTACACTTCCGAATGGACTAAGTACAAAACTGCATTAATAGCCTAAGAATGTACGACCTTGTAGAGAACTAAAACTTTAGAATCGGAAGGTGGAAGACTGAAGGTATGATGATACATAAATTGATTGATTGGTGTTTAATGCAAATTTCAGCACTGTTGGCTATTTCGTGGCTGTCAGTTTTTATTGATGGAGGAAGCCAGAGAGACAATCCTAGCCATTCGAGTCGACCACATCTGCCACATTCGGGACACGAACTCACAACATCAGTGTTGACATGCTAGTGATACAGTAGTTAAACTACTTAGACTACTTGGCCACCGATGCCACCAAGGCACCCGATAATATATAAATAACACATAGCTGAGACATAATAGACAGTTTTCTTCAAAGATTTAGGGTTGATTTTCCTTGTATTTTTTTCACTGGGTTAAAATCATAAAACAATTGAAACCTATCGGAACAGTATTTATTTTACAATGTTTATAAAGAGAGGATAAATTTCGATTTGCACGAGATTTAATAGTGAAATCTGTTTTTCATCTGATTGTTAGACGATATATACATTTTGTATCATTGTCATTTTGCTAAGTTTCTTTTGTTACCTATTCTGACATCGGACTCGGACTTCTTTTAAACTGAGTTTTACTGTGCGTATTGCTGTGTGTTTGTTTATTCTACATTGGCTAGATGTATAGGGGGAGGGTTGAGATCTCACAAAACATGTTTTACCCCGCCGTGTGGCCTTTGTTAGTCCTGTATGTTGTCTCTTTGACACATTCCCCATTTCCATTCTCAATTTTAAACTTTATCGTTTCTCAAAAGGATCTGCAAAAAGATCGCGTGTGTGGTACGAAATTTCCGCATTCGAAACATTTAAATTTTTAAAATTAAAACGAGAGGCTTGCCGATCAATTTTTTGAAATTTACTGTCGATAGCGGAGAAATTCGTATCGCACGAGATGCGATAATGAAATATATATTTTCTCTAATAAGATTTTTAGACTAAACTTTCTTCTTCTGTCTCAATAATCTGCAATTGTGTACTTCTATGTGATGTCATCCATCAGGCATGGTCGAATATTTTCGTTAAGTCACAATAACGATATTAGAAGAAACCAAGAACATTTCACGTCATTGTATGATTTTTACCAAAGAAGAACTGAGATCAAGCGAACCACACTTTCGGATAAGAACGAGGAAACATCTTTCATCAGAATGACGGCAAGAGTTGAGAAAATGAAATTCAACCGTTCATTTTTGAATTTTGAATACTGGAATACATACTCTTTTGAAAGAATAAAACTAATGCTCATAGGAATCTTGTTGATCTGTCGATAAAAAAATGTTATCAAAATCGATACCAAAGCTGTCATATGCCTTTAATCTTTATAGAGGTAATTTTAGATTACTTCAGTATTTTAGAGGGTCTAAATAATATATCGAAAAAATATTTCAACTTTTTACAAATATGCCCAACTGTCCCAGATTGGGGGAGGGTTTGGCGTCAGTAAACATGTTTAATCCCGCCACATTCTGTATGTGCTTGTCCTAAGTCAGGAACCTGTCATGCTGTTGTTGTTGTTTGTTGCTGTATATCATATTTGTTTTTCGTTTATTGTTTTGTACATAAATCAGGCTTTTTGTTTTTTCATTTGAATTGTTTTACATTTGTTATTTCGGACCTTTTATGGCTTACTATGCGGTATGGGTTTTGATCATTGTTGAAGGCCGTACGATGACCTATAGTTGTTAATTTCTACGTCATTTTGGTCTCTGGTGGAAGATTGTCTCATTGGCAATCATATCACATCTTATTTTTATATTTACAACCAACACGCTGAATATCGATAGTAAGCATAAAACTAGCAATTAAGCCTTTCACATTTTTAAGCACGCATTTTCATTGTGAGATTGTTCTATATACATTTGTACGTGTTGATCTACTTTGATAAGGATTCTATCACGGAGCAAATTTCCCACCTTATGAATTGTCGTGACATATGAACAGAATCTAAAGGCCAAGGAAAACTGATTTATGTAATGTGTAATTTTTATCACATTCGAACTCGACCAATGCATTTTTTGCAATTGTAAATGAATCCTATTATGTCTGAATATAAAAATAAGGAGATGTCGAATGATTGCCAATGAGACAACTATCCACCAGAGACCAAATGATGATGATATAAACTGTAGATTACCGTATGGTCTTCAGCAATGTGCAAAACCCACACAATATAGTTACCTATAAAAGGTCCTGGAATGACAAAATATCAAACAATCCGAAAGAGAAATACCACCGATCTGATGTATATAATGCTCAATATTCAAAATGATTAAAATGAAACCGCATACATAAAAATAAGGAAATGAGGTATTATTGCCAATAAGGGCAAAAATTTCAACAATTTTCTTTTTTTCTGCGCAATTAAGTGTTGCAATAATTCATACATACCAATCTAAAATGTGAAAATAGATTTTAAATGAAGGTTCCGGTTTTGTTCATAAATGTTTGCAACTATAAGGGACACAAAGGGAAAACACAACATTTAGAAAACAAATCCTTTTTACTATATATTATAATAAAATCAATAATGCTTAAAACAATTTTTTTTCACTGAAATATTCATCATTAACAATTTTTGGCTGAGTAATAGATATCCGATTGTAAAATTTATGCTCTCATTTTCCCATCAAGTTTATGACCTCCAAACAAGGAAATCCATTATGTGAATATTGGATAACGATTCGTCACTCCAAACTTTCATTAAGATGTTTTGACAAAATGTATGTTTAATAACATGCAGTAAACTGCAAAATGCAAGTGACATTTTACGCCATACTTGAGACATTCTGATTACAGGCATCAATATGTTGTAAAAATGTGTTGTGTCTTTCTTGTGGTCGAAAATATAAAGCTAAAAGCGACCTAGAATATCCCTGATTTTCTCATTTGTTCAAGAAAGTTTGTGATATTCTCATTTAAAGAACTTAATCTTACATTTTCTCTACCTAAAGCAAATTTCAGATAATCTAGGATGTTCTCACAATTTTCGAGATAATAATCAGTAAAGAACATCATAAATTCACTCATGTCAAAACTATATACATCGGTTTACACACAAGAGCGTCTTAGGAAGAACGAAAAGAAGGTAGCATTATCCTATCACTTCTAGGACCGCTATGTCAATGATGCTCACCCCCCTCCCCCCAAAAAAAAATAATACAAAATTTGGTGACTATGTTTAGCTCATTAATCAGATTAAACTCAACATAAAGGATAAATATTGGCTTAGATCTAGAAATTGACAACGAGGGTCGGTGGAGAACAAAACCATACGACTCTGATACGATATTCGAGATTTTGAGTTTCAAATCATCATATTCTTGAAAGAGGTTTATTGCTTACAATGAAGCTTTTGGACCAAGGGTTCCTAATGGTAAAGTTGAGGACACCCTTTCGAAAGTTTTATGGGTGCCTTAAACCTTTTTTTTTTGTATCTTGAGCCTGTTTTTTGGCATCTTAGCATCTTAAGCCTGTTTTTTGGTATCTTAAGCCTGTTTTTCGTTTCTTTTTGAATACCTTTGATGATATATTTCTTGGCTTTTATAGTGCTGCAGAATTTCTGCATGACTATGATAACAAGTTGAAAGGATGTTGTAATAATCTGAATTTGTAAAAAAATCAGGATCGCCTAAGCATAATGGCTAATACCAATGGAGCGTTTTCTTGGTTGGTAATGTCAGCTTAGTTAATTAAAAACATTCACGTATCATGTCATCCTGAAAAACGTTCGGATTCGTCTCGTTTTTCATAAGTTTATAGTAAAACTAAACTTAAACGAAATAATAAATGCATGCTGACTCCCAAATCATTGTATACCACTTTTCTTATGGTAATACCTCTTGAAGACTTAAAGGAAACTAAATATAAAATAAAGATTGAAACCTGAGAATTGAAAGGCTTGATTTGAAAGGCCAATCCTTCAGCTGAGTGACACATTTTCACCTCCAAACTAGAGGTATGTGAAGGATTTATATTTCGATGGAAGTGTCAGCAGCTCGACTCAATTTTTCAAATACACTTACAACTCTTAGTATTTTAAAGATTTATTAAAGCTCCCACTATGTTTTGACTGTGTATTGAAAAAAAGTAAAATTACAAAAATACTGACTCCAAGGAAAATTCAAAACGGAAAGTCCCTTATCAAATGGCAAAATCAAAAGCTAGAACACATCAAAACAAATGGAAAACAACTCATATTTCTATACGAGAACACTTTTGAGTATTTGCTGAAAAGTAAATATGAATGCACAATTCTTCATTTCGAGAATCTGTTCAATAATAATTTTCTGAAGTAAAAAACAGCCCTTCGGAAAACTAAATAAATTGAGTATGTTCATTCCCAAGATTCCGTATTATCTTTGAAGGTAAACTAGTATATAAATACCTAGAGCATTATATAACTGATATCGGCCTCAACAGAAGTACGGCGATGTTACTGTCTGTAATTGCTATTTGCATTTGCATCTGCCATTCAAATGCTGCAAATTTGTTAGGAAATGGTGACTTTGAAAACGGAAATGTATCGCCATGGAATTGCCAGGATTGCAGTGCAAAAATTATTCAAGGAAGCAATCATTATCATGGACAACATAGTGTACAAGTTAATAACAGGTGGGTTGAATCGTGTCAAACATAGTAATATACGAACTGCGCTGTTCAAAATACGTACAAATCTTGTAACAAAACAAATGCATAAAATGTAAGACTTATACATCAAAGGCTGTTTGCATTGTTTTTTCTACTTTAGAGTATTGTTTTGTTTTGTTTTGGCAAGATCTTTAAGTTTTTTTTAAGAGTTGATAAGACCTAATTTCTGAAATTCGGTCACTAAAACTGTATAAGTAGACCTATACTTTTTTTTATTAATTCCATTCCTTAAAATGACTGCGAGAACTGGAATCATAACTCTGTAAAAATTATTGTATTTACTACAATTAATGTAATATTTCAATTAAAATGTATTTTAGACATCACAACTGGGCTGGAATAGCACAGACTTTTTCTGTTACGGGCGGTCATTCCTACAAGTGTAGTATCTACATCAAGATTCTTAACCTTGGGAGCGGAAAGTCGTATGCTACCGTTAACCTAGATATTGATTATCAACAAAATGGTAAATATTTATTTCACAATGGTTCAAGACAGTTGATATGTAAAGTCTTGGTCCTTTAAAAAAATACTTTCATGGTTCACCAATACACAGAAGAACTTTCCTGTTTCTAAACAAGTCTTTCGCAAAGAAATTTGCAAAAAGATCAATTCTTGATTCTAATTGTCAGTTTTCATAGATACTTTTTAACTATTTATCAGAATGGTGATTACTTTTGCAATTGTAAATAGCTATAGATCATAGCTCTCGATAGTGATGTTTGTCCTAGTAAAGTTAATCTTGGATTTTAGCACAGAATTGCATGTCACACTTTTTTTTCCTGTACAGTTCATCTATAGCTAGCTATCAGTCTTCAGATTTCTGTGTAATGTTTTGTGTCTTGTCGTTGTTTTTCCTAGTCAAGAATGTTGTTTTCTTTTCTTCTTCTCGTAGTTTTTGCCCCCTCCCCCCTTGGTATCTCATCCCATTCTTTGTAATCTCATGCATGTTTGTCAGTGTGAACTTTTTGGACGAGTTGGATATTTAACTAAAGTATTGTGAAACCAATTAGATTAGTGGTTACGTAGGACAATGAAATTTAAACTATGTGTCAGTCTTCTTGTCTTACATAATCTGATGTAAGACTCACTAAGAAAAATTCATCAGTTTGCATTTTTCTTATTTAAAAACCAAGGAATCTATGTATTTGTCCATCTACAGAGTACAGTTTTTCTTTCTCTGTTTATTTTGCTCACACCTATATTCATATTTTTTAAAATATAATCTGATTAAAAAAGTTTTAATCCTAACTTGTCACAGACAACTTGTGGAATCTTAAAATTGACTTCTTTATATTGCCTTACTCAAGTGTTGAAAGTTGTTAATTCTATGATATTTCATGAATATGAATACTTCTTACAGGGAAATAAATATATTTGCTAATACTAGAGTTGCATGTTGTCACCAAATTATGTTTATAATTTTTTAAAATGAACAAGACTAGTTATTGTACAAGTATAACCATCTTGTTTTTTTCTGTTAATTGAAATAAATCCACTTCAGGTAAACACCATTACTTGGGTTTGTGTAATGACAAGTTTCACGAGGCCAACCGAAACTTTGAAGAAATTGGTGGAGATTTTCACATACCCTCAGGTAAAACAATACTTTACACTTCTCGACTCCAGCAACACTTCTTGTAATATTTGTTCATTTATATTTTGAAATGTTTCTATTGAGATAAGTTATTCTTTGATTTGTTCAATACATATCTTCCTTTTCATCTACATTCCAGCTGATAAATGAATTCAAGATTTTTTTTATTGCAGACGTCAAAAGACACCTATAAATGTCTTAAGTTAAGAAAGAAACAGCCCGCTTCCGTACTACAAAACGCGAACATATTGGGTTGCAACAGTGAAGGCAAAGTAATCAAACAAGTGTAACATAATACTAGTATAGGACAAATGGTTCGCTTTCGATATCTTGGAGATGAAAACAATTCGACAAAGCCGTACAATAACGCAATTTTATGAAAATTATGAAAAAGTGTTGTAACTCTAGTGTTTCTCAGTTTGAATCCATTATATGAACATCATTATCTGAACATTATGAAAAAAAGAAGTTGTTACTGTAAAGTTGAATATTCATAGCTATTATAAGCCCTTTGTCAACGACCACTTCCGTATGATGCAATCTATCATATAAAATCTACAAATTTGCAAATCAATGAGAGAGCTGCTAAATAAAATTTAAAATCTGGAAATGTCGTCTTATAGTATACACACCATAACATTTCAACACTGTCTGGTATGTTCATCATCTCATCGTCTAGATCGCTTCTACAAATCACGAAACTTGATATGGATATTGTATTGTCTTTTTAATTTTTATTTTGGAAGGAGTTAACCAGGCAAAGGTGTATGTACAGGTGGAGGACCCGTCGGTAAACTATATGGTTGATTATGCCAGCTGTGAACAAATAACACACGATGCTCAGTGGCGGTCACATGCTAACGCTCGGATAGACAATCTAAGAAAAGGGTCGCTCACTATTAAGTAAGTTTAGATTGTTCGGGATTGACTTATATATTTATGTTTTATATGTGCTCATTTATAAAGCACTCAAGTAAACTTTCTATTTTTCTCGAAGAATTTATGTCTTAACTGGCATTTTTATACGGCATGAAAAGATTAATGTAACTGTAGGGATTCAGTTGATTTTATCTTAAAAGACATAAGGTGGGTGTTTATCCGGAGTATAATTTGAGGGATATGTCATTAATGATAATAATTCACAATTAAAATGGAATAACTGGACAGATATGGGACCAACAGATGTTACAACAAATGTGTCAAATATTTTAGAAACAGTAAGGATGAAATACATTCCATTTTAATGACCAAAGTATTGACATACAATATATAAAATGAACACCTCTTTATTCCAACTGTTGCAGGCTTGATGCAGCAAGTAATTTAGATACAAATGGGCTATCAGTTCAGGTAAGAAATACCACATCTGTCATTTATGTAAAAGTGAAATGTTAAGTTTAAATAACTTAGAGAAAAGTCCTTAAAGTGAAAAGGTATTTTGCAACGCAGGTAAAGTTTACGATACTTGAAAGGAGAATGTGAAACTGAAGAAGATATGAAGAGATCTGTTTATTTGGCAAATAATATATATATAAGTCTAGAGATTTGCACAACGATACTAATATAAGATGGTATTATACGAAGATGTTGTTAATAAATCGTGTTGACAAATATTTCGGCTTAACAAATAGCCTTCTTCGGTGTCAATTATTTTAACAATACTGATAATATGTATAAAAATAGCTCAATAATACAGGTAAGTTTTGGTCTATTGATTTAATCCAAAATCCTGAACATCATAATATAAAACAAAACTCAATACTCAAATATACGTGACTGTGTATATTTACAACCCAAAATGAGTGAAAAATAAAACTTAGTATTTTTTATTGATGCCGTTTGGATGATGCACATTTAGTTCCTTTATCCAAAAGCTTTCCCGAACCTGTCGCTGGGCATCACTCCAGTGAATGTTCTGTTCAATCACTAGGATCTTCATGCGGTTAAAGTCATCAAGTGTGTGACCAGACTGTCTGAAATGCTGAGAAACTGGGAGAAGTGGCTTCTTAGAGATATCACTCCTATGGCCATTGAGGCGTTTGTGGAAAGGCTGCTTTGACTCACCAACATATTGGAGGCCACAAACAGAACATTCTAGAATGTAAATAACATTCATACTTTTGCAGTTAACATTGCAAAATATCTTATAGTTATTTTCGGTTGCCTTACTGTGAAAAGTTGATGAGTGATGCATCTGTAGGCAGCATTTGCAGCGTTTTTCATCACACGAACGACATTCTCCAGAAGTACGTCTATTATCAGACACTTCAGCCCGCACCAGCAGGTTACGCAGACTATTGGGTTGCCTAAAAGCTATCATGGGAGGCTCGGGAAAAATCTTGGATAGTTTGGAATTCTTTTCAACTGTTTTCCAATGCTCACGAATGACACCGAAGCTGTTTTTGAGAGATGGGTGGTAAGTAAGAACACATGGAGTCCTTTTATTTTTCTTTTTATATTTGTATTCTAACAGTTTACTCCTTGGGATAGTTTCCGCTTTCTGAAAGCCTTTTTGGATAGTTTTGTGTTTGTAGCCCCTTCTCTTCAAGCGGGTTTCGAGTTGACGTAGTTGTTTTTTAGTTGTTTCTGAGTTGGAACATATTCGCTTGACTCTGAGTGCCTGACTGTACGGGATGCTCTTAGTACAATGAGCAGGATGGCAACTTTTAGGGGACAGATATTGGTGAGTGTCAGTAGGCTTAGAATATAGATCAGTGGATATGATGCCATCTGTGAGCGAGCTGGAGGTATCGAGGAAGGTGATTTTGGATTTAGATTTCTCATGAGTAAATTTGATACTTGGATGTATGTTGTTGGCATGAGTGATGAATGTATCTAAATCCTCGTCACTTTTATTCCATTTCATATCCACATCATCTATAAATCTAAACCAGGAAAGCGGTTTTTCGATGGAAGATTCAAGGAGTTGTTTTTCTAATTTGCCCATAAATATGTTGGCATATGATGGAGCCATTTTGGTGCCCATAGCAGTTCCATTAACTTGCAGATAATGGTCTCCATCAAAAGTGAAGTTGTTGTTTTTGAGTACCAGCGTGAGCATTTTGACCAGGCATTCAGTAGGTGGATATTTCACTGGTCGGGAATTCCAAACTTCTTTACATGCATCAATGCCATCTGCCTGTGGAATATTCGTGTAGAGGGAGGTGACGTCCATAGAGACAAGTGTCGTGTCGGAGGGGAGTGGATTTAAGGCCTGCAATTTTCTAAGATAATCGGTAGTATCTTTGATGTGAGATGGTAAGTCCTCAACATGTTGACGAAGATGGAAGTCAACGAATTCCGATATTTTTTCCGTCGGATGACCGTTCGCTGAAACTATAGGTCTTCCTGGGTTATTGGCCTTATGAATTTTAGGTAAAAGATAAAATCTGCCCGTTTTGATTTTCTGGTTTCAAATATTCTAGAGTCTTTTCATCGATGAAACCATCGTTGTGCATTTCTACCAAACTATCAGTTATTTCTCTGCTAAAAGATGTTGTAGGATCAGAGTCTAGTTTTTGGTAGAACCTTGCATCGCCAAGTTGTCGTTCAGCCTCTTGAATATAGGCAGATTTATCCATGACAACCACTGCACTGCCTTTGTCTGCAGGTTTAATGACGATATTGTCGTTAGATCGTAAGTTTTTCAGTGCAGTTCGTTCTTCATTGGTAAGATTGTCAAAAGGTTTATTGTTATTTCTTGTATTTCTAATCATGTCCGACTTAAAATTGTCAATAAATGATTCCAAGGTGGCATTTTTGCTCGGTTTAGGGATCCAAGTACTCTTTTTTATAAATTTGTAGTTGTTTTCGTCTTCTGAAATTTCTGAGTCGCTATCCGAGCATCTGTTGTTGTTCTCCTTCGACGCGAAATATTCCTTAATGCGTAGACTTCTGGCAAAATTGTCAAGGTCTTCCGACAATTTAGTTTCATTGACAGGGGCAGGTAAAGGACAGAAATTTAAGCCTCTCGAGAGAAGAGATGTTTCAGCTTCCGTTAACTGGTGTTTGGAAAGATTGACCACAATGTTGGAGGGCGAATCAGTCTCTAGTGACCTACGTTTAAAGCGCCTTACTCGTTTTCTCTTTTTTTCAGATGGTAAAGAAGGATTGATATGTTCGATGCCATCCTTACGGAATTTTCTTTTCTGCCTTTCACTCAAATTTTGAGATTGTATGGTTGTTATGTCTTTAAGGCGAGCACTGATAGCATCACAATTGTCAGATGTGAGATCTTTTTTGCAGCTATTTGAAAGGGTGTTAAATTCGCCAGTAAGAGTTTTCAGATATTCTTCGCAGTGTTGTTTGAGGAGGACCATTAACCGCTTGGAACAATGGTAGAGGGTTTGATCCCATTTGCGAAGTAATGTGTTGGATAAATTGCCAGGTGTTTGTGGCATAAGCTTGATTTGTAGTCCGTTAGGAATACTTTCATTATACACATAATGGGTTAAATTAGATAAGTGGTGTTCAGTTCTAATTTGTTTTTGTTTAATAGCTCTAAGTTGTTTAAAATAATCATTGATGTTCATGATATAAGAGCTGAAATCTTAAATTCACTGGGATTATGTGAATAACATAATACAGGTCATTCAGAGGAAAATAATATAGAAGTCTATAAAAAGGACCAACCAGCAAATTTACTATGTACCGGATCGTCTAGAATAGACGATACTGTGCAGATAAGGAAAAAAATTATATAAGTCTAGAGATTTGCACAACGATACTAATATAAGATGGTATTATACGAAGATGTTGTTAATAAATCGTGTTGACAAATATTTCGGCTTAACAAATAGCCTTCTTCGGTGTCAATTATTTTAACAATACTGATAATATGTATAAAAATAGCTCAATAATACAGGTAAGTTTTGGTCTATTGATTTAATCCAAAATCCTGAACATCATAATATAAAACAAAACTCAATACTCAAATATACGTGACTGTGCATATTTACAACCCAAAATGAGTGAAAAATAAAACTTAGTATTTTTTATTGATGCCGTTTGGATGATGCACATTTAGTTCCTTTATCCAAAAGCTTTCCCGAACCTGTCGCTGGGCATCACTCCAGTGAATGTTTTGTTCAATCACTAGGATCTTCATGCGGTTAAAGTCATCAAGTGTGTGACCAGACTGTCTGAAATGCTGAGAAACATCTCTTCTCTCGAGAGGCTTAAATTTCTGTCCTTTACCTGCCCCTGTCAATGAAACTAAATTGTCGGAAGACCTTGACAATTTTGCCAGAAGTCTACGCATTAAGGAATATTTCGCGTCGAAGGAGAACAACAACAGATGCTCGGATAGCGACTCAGAAATTTCAGAAGACGAAAACAACTACAAATTTATAAAAAAGAGTACTTGGATCCCTAAACCGAGCAAAAATGCCACCTTGGAATCATTTATTGACAATTTTAAGTCGGACATTATTAGAAATACAAGAAATAACAATAAACCTTTTGACAATCTTACCAATGAAGAACGAACTGCACTGAAAAACTTACGATCTAACGACAATATCGTCATTAAACCTGCAGACAAAGGCAGTGCAGTGGTTGTCATGGATAAATCTGCCTATATTCAAGAGGCTGAACGACAACTTGGCGATGCAAGGTTCTACCAAAAACTAGACTCTGATCCTACAACATCTTTTAGCAGAGAAATAACTGATAGTTTGGTAGAAATGCACAACGATGGTTTCATCGATGAAAAGACTCTAGAATATTTGAAACCAGAAAATCCAAAACCGGGCAGATTTTATCTTTTACCTAAAATTCATAAGGCCAATAACCCAGGAAGACCTATAGTTTCAGCGAACGGTCATCCGACGGAAAAAATATCGGAATTCGTTGACTTCCATCTTCGTCAACATGTTGAGGACTTACCATCTCACATCAAAGATACTACCGATTATCTTAGAAAATTGCAGGCCTTAAATCCACTCCCCTCCGACACGACACTTGTCTCTATGGACGTCACCTCCCTCTACACGAATATTCCACAGGCAGATGGCATTGATGCATGTAAAGAAGTTTGGAATTCCCGACCAGTGAAATATCCACCTACTGAATGCCTGGTCAAAATGCTCACGCTGGTACTCAAAAACAACAACTTCACTTTTGATGGAGACCATTATCTGCAAGTTAATGGAACTGCTATGGGCACCAAAATGGCTCCATCATATGCCAACATATTTATGGGCAAATTAGAAAAACAACTCCTTGAATCTTCCATCGAAAAACCGCTTTCCTGGTTTAGATTTATAGATGATGTGGATATGAAATGGAATAAAAGTGACGAGGATTTAGATACATTCATCACTCATGCCAACAACATACATCCAAGTATCAAATTTACTCATGAGAAATCTAAATCCAAAATCACCTTCCTCGATACCTCCAGCTCGCTCACAGATGGCATCATATCCACTGATCTATATTCTAAGCCTACTGACACTCACCAATATCTGTCCCCTAAAAGTTGCCATCCTGCTCATTGTACTAAGAGCATCCCGTACAGTCAGGCACTCAGAGTCAAGCGAATATGTTCCAACTCAGAAACAACTAAAAAACAACTACGTCAACTCGAAACCCGCTTGAAGAGAAGGGGCTACAAACACAAAACTATCCAAAAAGGCTTTCAGAAAGCGGAAACTATCCCAAGGAGTAAACTGTTAGAATACAAATATAAAAAGAAAAATAAAAGGACTCCATGTGTTCTTACTTACCACCCATCTCTCAAAAACAGCTTCGGTGTCATTCGTGAGCATTGGAAAACAGTTGAAAAGAATTCCAAACTATCCAAGATTTTTCCCGAGCCTCCCATGATAGCTTTTAGGCAACCCAATAGTCTGCGTAACCTGCTGGTGCGGGCTGAAATGTCTGATAATAGACGTACTTCTGGAGAATGTCGTTCGTGTGATGAAAAACGCTGCAAATGCTGCCTACAGATGCATCACTCATCAACTTTTCACAGTAAGGCAACCGAAAATAACTATAAGATATTTTGCAATGTTAACTGCAAAAGTATGAATGTTATTTACATTCTAGAATGTTCGGTTTGTGGCCTCCAATATGTTGGTGAGTCAAAGCAGCCTTTCCACAAACGCCTCAATGGCCATAGGAGTGATATCTCTAAGAAGCCACTTCTCCCAGTTTCTCAGCATTTCAGACAGTCTGGTCACACACTTGATGACTTTAACCGCATGAAGATCCTAGTGATTGAACAGAACATTCACTGGAGTGATGCCCAGCGACAGGTTCGGGAAAGCTTTTGGATAAAGGAACTAAATGTGCATCATCCAAACGGCATCAATAAAAAATACTAAGTTTTATTTTTCACTCATTTTGGGTTGTAAATATACACAGTCACGTATATTTGAGTATTGAGTTTTGTTTTATATTATGATGTTCAGGATTTTGGATTAAATCAATAGACCAAAACTTACCTGTATTATTGAGCTATTTTTATACATATTATCAGTATTGTTAAAATAATTGACACCGAAGAAGGCTATTTGTTAAGCCGAAATATTTGTCAACACGATTTATTAACAACATCTTCGTATAATACCATCTTATATTAGTATCGTTGTGCAAATCTCTAGACTTATATATATATATATATATACAAGTCTAAATTGAAAACAACGTTCAAACATATGATTGCGTTGGATAAAACCGCAATTTTTATACGTGTGCATGCAAAACAAATTTCTTGGTAGAGGGGTCTAAATACAGCACAAACAACATTTTCCAAAAGACCAAATGAGTGAAAAAGTATATTTTAACAAAACGCATTTGACTAGCAGGTCGAACAACTGATGTTCTTAAACCCTGCTGACTGCCATTGGCGATTGCCAAATAAACGGATCACAAGATGTAACAAAATAGATCTTATTATTAATTTATTACCAAACAGAAAACAATAAACTTGCGGAAAAGATGGTATACCGCAAACATGAGGTGCAAACATTTGTACACCATATCCGGATTTCGACAATGAATGTCTCTTCAGTGATGTTAGGAATCAAAACGGTATTTGGAAGGCCATATAATTTACCTCAATTTAGGATAGACTCTTGAATTTTGAAAGAGTCAAATTAGGATGAACGGATCATATAAACCCGAAGTCAAATATAATACAAGCCCAAACGAAAAAATATAAACAAGTCTAAATTGAAAACAACGTTCAAACCTATGATTGCGTTGGATAAAAACCGCAATTTTTATACGTGTGCATACAAAACAAATTTCTTGGTAGAGGGGTCTAAATACAGCACAAACAACATTTTCTTAAAGACCAAAAAAGTGAAAAAGTATAAATATAATGTCTAAAAATAGCAACAATCAACATCCAATCTATTTAGGCGTGGATCAGTTTGTGAAAATAAACTGATACAATTACTGAATTAAAATTATATAAATGTTTAATAGGAAACAACAAATCTTTGAACTAGAAGGGTAAATGCTTCAAGTATTTATCTTCATAAATTTAACGTTATAATGACCACGGCTGTCATCCGGTATATCGAGAAAAATGATCGTGAAAGAATCATATGCAATTCAGCTGGAAAATCTGTGAAAATATCCGTTGTACTTATTATCAGCAGGCGGAAAAGTCAGAAAAATGGTTCAACTTCCCTAATAATTTTTGTGCATGAAGGTAAAGAAACAATGCAGTACTAATCTATCATTTAAGTCAATAATTCTATATGATACATTTTCATTTCAAGATTTAAGGAAACAATCATATGATGCCATAATCTTTTGCAAATAACATTGCTTCAAATATTTCTTCCACAGATTAAGCAGACAAAAAGTAAATTCGCTTTTGGAACAGCGTTTAATGCTCCATATGTTACTGACAGTTCACATACTGCTTATCAACAGTTCATTTATGATAATTTTGAATGGGGAGTACCAGAAAACGCACTGAAGTGGAAACTAATGGAATGGACGAAGGTATTAAATAAAATGACTTTAGGATTCGGTCTCAAAATACAACAATCAGAAGGACCTGTGCAAGAAAAAATGTTGATCTGTAGTATAATATAAAAATAAGAAGTATGGTATGATTGCCAATGAGACAACTATTCACCAAAGTTATATAGACTACATATTGTAAAGAGAAATGGGAATAGTATCTGTAGGATCCCTATCCCTGTTCACTCCATGTAATTGAACTGTTTCATCACAACAATTCAAAGAAGCTTTTGTTTGCAACGATTGATGGAATTGGTATTGCTTGCGTAACGGCAAGTGGCAAATACTTCATAATTATTTTGGATCAGAACAAATAAAACAATCAGTTAGGAAGATTATCGACCAGATTGAAGAATGGTAAATTTGGACCGTTACTGAACAGGTTTCTAGAACTGCTGTTGCAAGGGTTATTTTAACGTGTAAAGAGTTTGACTCTCTCCCAACATTGAAACATCCTGAAGGTGTAACATTCCTTGTTTCAAGTACCATTGTACAATTTTTGAAACAACGCAATTTAAATATAGCAATTGAATTAAGCCAGTGCCTCGGCATGGCTACTACATGTTACACTGTCGAGACATTCAATACACAATTTGCTTTTGCCATTGAACACGGTCTTTTCTTACTGTAATTTTCATCATAATGTTACTGTATGAAACTTTTACCTGGAGGTACAGCAGCCTATTTTTGGATGGATAAGCGTTTATATCAGCAGGTTAAGTAAGACCTTTGAGATAATTTTCTGTAACTGTAAGCACGCTTTCTTTCTACCGTACGCTTCAACCCTTTTAATTCGAAGATGATCACCTATTTAAAAATGGAAGCGACACAATTACTAAATGATATTTGTGAAAACAGCTACTCCTATTTGAACTTTTTATTTTTGAGAGGGAGGCTGCAGATGGCCCCGTATATATTTTGTTTCTAGCATTATACTAACATATACTTATGTGCATTCTCTGCAGATTTACAAACCTTATTGTAAGTATGCAACATTTAAATGCATTCATTATATTAAATATATGAAAAATTTCTAAAAGGTAGTATATTTTTTTTCAAAACTCTAATTAGAATTTTGTAAATATCTCGTTCAATTCAAAAGATCTTTTTCTCTTATTTTAGAATAAGTAAAAATAATGCTCTACCTAAAAATGTGCCATACACATCTCTTTCAGGATCATATAAACTATAATAAAGGAATGGACGCCGTTAAAAAATTGAGATCTCATGGGTAATTATATAAGAATATGATAAAAATGAAACCGCACTGAAACAATTGAAACGATTTATGTTTTTTTTCCCAATTCAACTATATTGGTACCGTCATGGAAATTAACATTGCGCAATCTACTGTATTGCTAGTACATAAAAGAAAACGCCAATCAAGATTTTGTAACGAATGAATTGAAACAAGTTGCTTTTTTGAAAAAAAAAGTCAATACGTGAACCTTAGAACCTTTTTATGCTACATTTGTAATTATTATTTCAACTGAATTGTAAATTATATCTCAGTATTTTCATTACCATTTGTGTGGAGGATAATATTTTCTTTTAATTGTAAATCAGGACAATTATGGCATGTTGAGAGTGGTGTTAAGTATAAAGTAGGGAGATAAGGAATGTTTTAATTTCAATAGTTCATTTCTGGATGGTGTTAGCTTTCATTTTTACCAGTGTGAAAGGTCAAACTACTACCAATGGATGACACTTCTAGGGTGTTTATTGGTAGAGGTAATATTTCAACTAGAATCCCTCAGTAATTTTATATATTTTTCTTTTTAAAATACATATTTCAGAGCAAGTACGATATTTTGTTTCATAAAATGTGAAAGTTTTATTCCTACCAAATAAGACAAAATCTACTTGCTTTCCATTTTATTTTGTGCCGTAAAATCCCGTTCCACCTTAGAAATGGGTTTGGATCCAGCTAATACATTCAATTTGCTGCTTATACATGTATACAAAATATGCCTGTCCAAATCCGGAGCCTGTTTTTTGTTTGCTTATTATCGTGTGTGTTTTTCGTTTTTTTTGTATAAAAATATTGCCATTGATTTATATCTTGTACAACACTGGTCAATTTGATGTCATTTAGCTCGCTTTGCTAAGACTCAACATTCAACGCCATGTTTATTGAAAAGTTCTCTCATTGGCAAGCATAGTTTACCAAATATTATATAATCATATCAGTCGCAGGATAATTCAATTATTATGAAATGCGGTTCCTTATATCAACATACGTAATAAATCTCAAAACTTTACACTGTTTTTGCTAACTTATGTTTGTTGCCTATAATTCAGAAATTTAACAGTGTTATGGGATTTTTTGCTTAAAGTTAACTTTTTAAGCATAGGTCCCTTTTTAAAAGTCTCCCAACTACTACCTCATATGTGAACTTAAGTATAGGGGAAATTTTGTTCGCTATGTTAAAGAAATCTTCCACTTGCTCTATTTTGCATGTGAAGACCATAAAACCGTCTTCTCTATATTGACAGTGTAATTTGATGTTTTCTTTCCATTTAAACGTATCTAAGATATTTATTAATAGGACAGACAGATGCATATATGTGCATGATGGTGAAAATATACCACCTATGGAGGGGGGGGGGGGGGGGCTCCTATAACTTGTTTGTATAACTTTCCATTAAACTCAAATTTATTGTTTCTTAGAATTAATTAAACAAATGCAGTTTAATCTTTTTTGTTGATAATCTTTAAAGGATATTCTTTTGTGTCAATTAATTCTAATATTAAGAAATATAAATGTTCCGAATGAACAATAATTAGGGTTCCGAATATTCCTCCATAGACTATATTTCTAACTAATTAATATGCGTGAACCCCTGTTAATATCCCTTTACTCAAATATAACTCTGTGGTTTTACACAGGACACGATCGATACATTAAAATATTTTTGAATTTTAACTTGCACTTGACATTTGAAATTGAGGATAATACGGGGATGTCCTTTTGTCCTTCGCCAATATAATCCGTTTATACCCATTCGTAGTCTGCATATGGTGCATGCATATAGTAGAAAATGTTTTTTTCTATTGATAGTATAAATGACAGTGGCGTAGCTTGCCTTCTGTTATAACCGAGGCAGGGGGTCTGGTGGGGGGGGGGGGTGGGGGGGGGGGGGGGGGCGCAGCCCCCCAGAAGCTGTTGAAGTTTTGCAATTTGAAAAAAAGAATCTAATTAAAAATAAAAGCAGTAACTGTTGTTTTATTTTACTTCATCATAATAATGTTAATATGCCTTACACTAAGTTATACTACAGATTTTTTAGTTGATTACTGGTACCTACAACATTTTCAATGTTCGGATGAATACATAAATGTTCTCAATAACATTTACCACTTTTTTTCAAATTGAATCCTTCCAGTGAACGTCCTAGATTTTAAATTCTTTACGAATAAAAGGAAATGAGTATGGGGTTTATTTTAATGACACAGCAAGTCAACAATACAGCTGAGAATCCTCAAAGAAACCATATCAACTGACTTACAGAATAGTGGACTTAACAACAAGATTCAAAATGTGCGCTTTGCAATGCAGATATATGCTCTTGATTGGATTTGCTGTAAGCGGGTTTAATGCCAGAAACATTACCAGACATCACGCTTGCAGCATTTCTTGATTAACTAGGAAATAAACACATGCTACATGTGAAATGCACCACGGCACTTTTATTGGTTGTGTTTTGTCCTGATATTTTTTGGATGGTCTTCAAATTCTTATACGGTTTTGAACTTTTTCCCATTGTGAAAATCACAACCGGTGAAGTACTAACGGAAAAATTTACGTTTTTTCTGAGGTCTGCATAATAAATGAAAACAGTATTTGGTTGAAAATTTTATATAGAAACTGATATATATTATTTATGTCGCTGGAATTAATGACTCCTTCAATTATTTAAAATTCCCTGCTAGTGAAAATTGTTTAAAAGAAAATTCTTTTTTTATTTTTTATTTTTTTTTACCGAGGCAACTGCCGCGGTTGCCTCAACGTAAGCTACGCCAATGAATGAAGATGATTTAAATGAGTTTATTGAAACTGTTATAACTGATAAATACACATTTAAAGTTTTAGAGTGTACAATATTAGCATGAACCGAGACATGTCTATTTTCCCCGGAATGTTGGCTATAAAAATAATGTGCGCCCGTCCTTCCGCCATTTAAGCATATGCATCCTTACAGTTCTGTGTGGATTTGATATTTTTGATGAATTAGCCCTTGTACATATAAATAATATAAAAAATTGTCATGCAGCTTTCTCGTTTCTAAAAAATCTTAACGGGTTTTGATAAAATTCGCTTTATGATTTATGTCCACTATATTTCAATAGAGTTTATAAACCAGTGCCAATATGATAAATGTACGGGTTATGTCTCTTGAGGTATAAATTAACAAGATCCTTGCACTTTTCAATGGATGTTTATTAGATTTATATGAAAGGTTCACAGAAACTATCTGTTGATCGAGTTCCAAAGCTCATGCTTGTCAAGTCTTTTGACTGGAATTATACCACGGCGGAATATAAATTATGTTAAAAACGTGCCCAGTAAACGCTATCCTTTTAAATTTTTTTCGGATTTTGTGATATTTGTATGAAATTTCAAATCGTGATGACGCACTACATTTAAAGAGTATTATTTTCATTTGTAGACGTATTATTAATGAAATTCATATATATACATTAATCTAAAAGATGACCATGAAGAATCATTAACTGAATAGGTTTTCATGTGTTTATAATTTTTAAATCCCAAAGTAAAACCTGGTTTAAATTTTCTGTAACAGATATATATAACCAGGAAGATTTGGACAATTGGGAATTATAAATAAATCCAGTTCAGACAATATATTTTAAGTGCTAAAGTTACAATTTGTTAATCCGTTTATCTAACCTTTTACGTTTCTTTGTGTTTAATTAATTCTATTGTTAAATATATGTTTGTCGTGATGGAAATGCCCCCAAGGGTGACTGGGGAATAGAAGTATGGTCACCATTGGTCTTCCTCCGACCGGCAGTAAAACCCGTGCTAAAGTGGGGCGTCCGTTTGGCTGTGCGGGATGTACAAATTTGCAGCCACGTCCGGTCAGAATGGGGACGTTAAATCCGATGCCTCGTGTAAAGAGAGTGCCACGCTCTTTGCACGTTAAGAACCCTTGCAACAACTCTTTGAGGGGTCCGTAGGTGACCTGTTGCAAGGCTAAATTTCTGTCCCTATCCATTATACCCTCATTTCCCGTGGCAGTCTAAATTTCTCCGACCTTTATCCCTTAATCTATTACAGAACCTACCTATTGTAATTATTGTGAACTTGTTCTCGTCCTGAATATGCATGAAATATTTGCCACTGGACGTTAAGCAACCAACAATCAATCAATCAATCGTGATGGAAATCACTCTGACCATGACAAGTTAATCCGTTGGACACTAATCCTTTTCTATAGTAACTGTTTTTTATATATGCTTTTGTATGTTATTTTGTAGTCAGTTTAGGTCTTAGGTCTGGTACTGTCCGGACCTTGCTAATAAAGTTTAAACTATTGGTATTCCGTCTTTGAATTACTATAACACGGAAAACTCCCCGGTTATATATTGGTGGAGGTACCCGCGGCACGATATTGAGCTAGTTCCCCCAAACTAGTAATGAATACCTCTAGAAGCAACTATATGAAAGGAACCTGGAATTACCAGCCTTGCAGAAATGGACATCCGTTTCCGATGAGAAAAGCAGATACCTATTTGGACTTTCTGTGCAAATATTGCGGTAAGACATTGAACGTTTTCACCTACCATCGGTGTTATGCAGCTAACGCTTATTGTTACAAGTGCAGACATCATGGACATTTTGCCCGTATGTGTAGTTTTCACGTTAAGTCGTGTGAAAACCCAAAACCGAAGAAGAAATCAAAGTCAAAAATTCAAAGAGACAGCGACCGAATGAGAACGTTTATTGAGAAGAAACAAATGTCTCAATTTCCGTTTCAAGGACTTGAGGACAAGGAACTCTCCGTTTTTACGTGCTCCATACAGGACGAATTCGCGAAACAGCACATTAACAAGTTGAAAGTGTCTAACCAAAACTTCATCAAAGAAATCGCTGTGCTGAAGTGTGAAAATTCTAAATTGGATACCGTTATGAAAGAAAACGTGATGTTAAGGAACAGTTTGGACAAATTAATTTCCGATCGTGTACAACATGGCCGGGTAATTCAGAAGATCAAACAGGAGTTAGCTGAGTATACACGTAGAACTCAAAATTTTGAAAAAGAAATAGTGCGGTTGAAAGAGGAAAACCTAAGTTTAACCAACACCAGATACAGATTAACAATGGATTTGAAAAATGCTGAGATGCAAGACTGTCATTTAATCAAAACACTTAAAGACGAAATTCAGCGACTAAAAGCACAACATTCCGACGATATACGTGAATGTCAAGATTTACTTCATGAACTTTCAGTCGCCGAGAATCAAATTAAAAGTTTACGTTCAAGCTATCCCAAAAACTCGCATCAACACCCACAACGAGGAGGTTACCCACGAAGATAACCGAGTCAAATAGTTTCAATTCGGCAAACTCGGAGACCGAGTTTAGGTGGAGTAGTGGCGATTATAACCAGGAAGATTTGGACAATTGGGAATTATAAATAAATCCAGTTCAGACAATATATTTTAAGTGCTAAAGTTACAATTTGTTAATCCGTTTATCTAACCTTTTACGTTTCTTTGTGTTTAATTAATTCTATTGTTAAATATATGTTTGTCGTGATGGAAATCACTCTGACCATGACAAGTTAATCCGTTGGACACTAATCCTTTTCTATAGTAACTGTTTTTTATATATGCTTTTGTATGTTATTTTGTAGTCAGTTTAGGTCTTAGGTCTGGTACTGTCCGGACCTTGCTAATAAAGTTTAAACTATTGGTATTCCGTCTTTGAATTACTATAACACGGAAAACTCCCCGGTTATATATTGGTGGAGGTACCCGCGGCACGATATTGAGCTAGTTCCCCCAAACTAGTAATGAATACCTCTAGAAGCAACTATATGAAAGGAACCTGGAATTACCAGCCTTGCAGAAATGGACATCCGTTTCCGATGAGAAAAGCAGATACCTATTTGGACTTTCTGTGCAAATATTGCGGTAAGACATTGAACGTTTTCACCTACCATCGGTGTTATGCAGCTAACGCTTATTGTTACAAGTGCAGACATCATGGACATTTTGCCCGTATGTGTAGTTTTCACGTTAAGTCGTGTGAAAACCCAAAACCGAAGAAGAAATCAAAGTCAAAAATTCAAAGAGACAGCGACCGAACGAGAACGTTTATTGAGAAGAAACAAATGTCTCAATTTCCGTTTCAAGGACTTGAGGACAAGGAACTCTCCGTTTTTACGTGCTCCATACAGGACGAATTCGCGAAACAGCACATTAACAAGTTGAAAGTGTCTAACCAAAACTTCATCAAAGAAATCGCTGTGCTGAAGTGTGAAAATTCTAAATTGGATACCGTTATGAAAGAAAACGTGATGTTAAGGAACAGTTTGGACAAATTAATTTCCGATCGTGTACAACATGGCCGGGTAATTCAGAAGATCAAACAGGAGTTAGCTGAGTATACACGTAGAACTCAAAATTTTGAAAAAGAAATAGTGCGGTTGAAAGAGGAAAACCTAAGTTTAACCAACACCAGATACAGATTAACAATGGATTTGAAAAATGCTGAGATGCAAGACTGTCATTTAATCAAAACACTTAAAGACGAAATTCAGCGACTAAAAGCACAACATTCCGACGATATACGTGAATGTCAAGATTTACTTCATGAACTTTCAGTCGCCGAGAATCAAATTAAAAGTTTACGTTCAAGCTATCCCAAAAACTCGCATCAACACCCACAACGAGGAGGTTACCCACGAAGATAACCGAGTCAAATAGTTTCAATTCGGCAAACTCGGAGACCGAGTTTAGGTGGAGTAGTGGCGATTATAACCAGGAAGATTTGGACAATTGGGAATTATAAATAAATCCAGTTCAGACAATATATTTTAAGTGCTAAAGTTACAATTTGTTAATCCGTTTATCTAACCTTTTACGTTTCTTTGTGTTTAATTAATTCTATTGTTAAATATATGTTTGTCGTGATGGAAATCACTCTGACCATGACAAGTTAATCCGTTGGACACTAATCCTTTTCTATAGTAACTGTTTTTTATATATGCTTTTGTATGTTATTTTGTAGTCAGTTTAGGTCTTAGGTCTGGTACTGTCCGGACCTTGCTAATAAAGTTTAAACTATTGGTATTCCGTCTTTGAATTACTATAACACGGAAAACTCCCCGGTTATATATTGGTGGAGGTACCCGCGGCACGATATTGAGCTAGTTCCCCCAAACTAGTAATGAATACCTCTAGAAGCAACTATATGAAAGGAACCTGGAATTACCAGCCTTGCAGAAATGGACATCCGTTTCCGATGAGAAAAGCAGATACCTATTTGGACTTTCTGTGCAAATATTGCGGTAAGACATTGAACGTTTTCACCTACCATCGGTGTTATGCAGCTAACGCTTATTGTTACAAGTGCAGACATCATGGACATTTTGCCCGTATGTGTAGTTTTCACGTTAAGTCGTGTGAAAACCCAAAACCGAAGAAGAAATCAAAGTCAAAAATTCAAAGAGACAGCGACCGAATGAGAACGTTTATTGAGAAGAAACAAATGTCTCAATTTCCGTTTCAAGGACTTGAGGACAAGGAACTCTCCGTTTTTACGTGCTCCATACAGGACGAATTCGCGAAACAGCACATTAACAAGTTGAAAGTGTCTAACCGAAACTTCATCAAAGAAATCGCTGTGCTGAAGTGTGAAAATTCTAAATTGGATACCGTTATGAAAGAAAACGTGATGTTAAGGAACAGTTTGGACAAATTAAATTCCGATCGTGTACAACATGGCCGGGTAATTCAGAAGATCGAACAGGAGTTAGCTGAGTATACACGTAGAACTCAAAATTTTGAAAAAGAAATAGTGCGGTTGAAAGAGGAAAACCTAAGTTTAACCAACACCAGATACAGATTAACAATGGATTTGAAAAATGCTGAGATGCAAGACTGTCATTTAATCAAAACATTTAAAGACGAAATTCAGCGACTAAAAGCACAACATTCCGACGATATACGTGAATGTCAAGATTTACTTCATGAACTTTCAGTCGCCGAGAATCAAATTAAAAGTTTACGTTCAAGCTATCCCAAAAACTCGCATCAACACCCACAACGAGGAGGTTACCCACGAAGATAACCGAGTCAAATAGTTTCAATTCGGCAAACTCGGAGACCGAGTTTAGGTGGAGTAGTGGCGATTATAACCAGGAAGATTTGGACAATTGGGAATTATAAATAAATCCAGTTCAGACAATATATTTTAAGTGCTAAAGTTACAATTTGTTAATCCGTTTATCTAACCTTTTACGTTTCTTTGTGTTTAATTAATTCTATTGTTAAATATATGTTTGTCGTGATGGAAATCACTCTGACCATGACAAGTTAATCCGTTGGACACTAATCCTTTTCTATAGTAACTGTTTTTTATATATGCTTTTGTATGTTATTTTGTAGTCAGTTTAGGTCTTAGGTCTGGTACTGTCCGGACCTTGCTAATAAAGTTTAAACTATTGGTATTCCGTCTTTGAATTACTATAACACGGAAAACTCCCCGGTTATATATACAACACGGTCGTCATTCGGTTTACCGAGACAAATGAACGTGAATACGTAGATAACTGCGATATAAAACTCAACTTTAAGCTCTTAAGCTTTTTGTAGTTCCATAAAGTTTGTATACATCTTATCAATACTAATTTCCATTAAAGGATAAAGGTACGTGGACATAATATGTTTTGGGATGACCCAAAGCATGTACCAGAATGGTTGAAAGGTATGCCATCATCACAGGCGTTACAACTGATGCACAAGAGAGTGAACGACATGATATCTCATTCTAAAGGAACGTAAGTGTCTGGCGTTAAAATACATGTTAATTCACATCTTGTTCAACTGTACCATGTTATTATTTAGCCAGGGCATTTTACATGTTATTCTATTCAGCTCATATAATAATGATAACCATATAAAAATATCATTATGTATACATTTTAGATGTTATACTTTATCACTACTTATAAAAGCACCATGATTAATATCGCACTTTGCAAACCTCTTATGCAAAGTTGATCGCTGATTTATATCTCTTCTGTTTAGGTCCATTTGTTTTTAAGTTTTCATGCTTTCAAATGGCTTATATTTCTGGATTTCAAATATAAAAAATGTATCATGCGCACAGAAAAATAGTCTCATTCGCTTATACTACCACTTGCTCGGTACCACTAGTTGTGGTCTTTTAGCCCCTTATGATACAATACGCACAGCAGCATGTGTCTCACCGCTGGTATATTTTTAAATTATGATAGGTCACCGTCATCTTCGCTAGCCAAGGGTTACGATCCACTTCCCTCCTCTCCACAGAGGGAAGTGGATCGTAACCCTTGGCTAGCGAAGATGGGTCACCGTACGGTTAAGACCATCGGTATACTACTGTAGCATGTGTTATTAACACCGCCACGTACTTATATGCCTGTTCTAAGTCATGCACCTCGTCACTTGTTGTCTTTTGCTTTTATCTGAATAATTATTCAAAACTTTGCTAGACTCTGGACCATTTAGAGTTTAAAATATTGTAAAGACCTTTTTCTGTTGTTGAAAACCAAAATGTTTGTCTGTCGATTGATTTTTTGTATCATTTAGCTGCTGACGTTTACCCTAAATCTCCGTTTATTGTTTTTAGAGGTAAACATTCTGATTTTAAAAATAGATATGTGTTCTTAGACCCCGTTCACACTAGCATTTTTTCTTTAATCGATCTAATTTGAATCGATCTAAATAAAACCAGTTAGCGTTCACACTATCTTTAATCATAACGATCTCTATCGGTCTAATCTGAACCAGTGCGCTCACACTACAATTAAAAATGCAATTGATCTTACCCGTAAAACTGTAAACATTGTGTATAAATAGAACTAATTTGTCAAATTAATGTGTTGATACACTGATACACACACTTGAAAAAAAAAATGGATGAAGTTATTGTTTCTCTTGAATCACAAGTTCAAATTTTGATACTGGTGTTCTTGCAGTTTTCTTTGATTTTGAAACAAAAAACTGTAGCAACGAAGTTACAACACGACGAAATACTGCGGTTCCTGAAAAGAAAAAAATCAACTAAAAAAAGAAGACACAGATTTCGCAAATTTATGCTACGGCGAAGACAACATGTTTTCAGTTTGTTTTTACGTGCATGTACACAGAGGTCTGTTAACAGAGAAATATTGGTTAAACAACGAACCATTGATATAGTTGTGCCGCTATACATCATCGTCGCTAGCCAAGGGTTACGATCCACTTCCCTCCTCTCCTGGAGAGGAGGGAAGTGGATCGTAACCCTTGGCTAGCGAAGATGCTATACATGAGCATACATTATTTTCGATTCAATCGTTCTAGTTTAAACCGATCTCTGCGTTCACATTTAAAGTAAGATCGGTTCACTTTAGATCGATTCAAACTAATTGGCACTCATACCACATCTTATTTCTATAAACTACCTCTTTTGGTGTTTTAGTTTAGACCGATTGGAGATCGATTCAACGCGTTCACATTGGCCCTTAAATCGATCTAAAGTGAACCGATCTAGTTTAAATCGATCTAAATGTCCTAGTGTGAACGGGGTCGTAGATAAGAACCAAAGTTCCGGAAGGACAAAACGGATTAAAAAATGTCTAAAGTTATCTGCTGACAAGGTTACTGCTTTTGGACAGACACATAAAGACATGGAAGGGTTAATAATGTATTTTGAAATCTTAATTCTCCCCTTTTTACAGAAAAGCAAAATGTACCGAAAAGAACATACCATAAAAACCAGGAGAGATGTGGTATCATCATGGGTTAGCTTTATGAAATAGGGTTTATGAACAAACCAAAAACTGGAAAAATAATGCTAATTGTTATCGTATCACAGATGTCGGTGGTTGACGAGATCCTTGCGGATGAGGGCTGTAGCCAGACTCCTTACGGTCAGAAAATACCCGGACGGACAAGACTATAGTTCAATAAGCTGTTTTGGCTCCAATATCATCTAAACGGGAGGTCGGATGGACCCGGTTCGATCAATCGGCTGGTCATGTCGAGCCCTTCAGTTAATCCTCAACAATAAGCTTTCTTGTAACAATTTTCATGATATACACATGTGTTTTAAATAAAGCTATTTATATTTCGGATAACTGAAGAAGGCGATGGCTCATGGGTCAATCAAGTGGTACGCTTTCTATTTCGCTTGATGGATACGCTCTGCTTGAGTATACCATTCTTGGAACATCTGGTGCTTTCCGCAGTGGATCTTGGGTGCTAATTTTGGGGACCAGCTACGTTATACATGTTATACTTGGAGCTCGTTTTCAGCATTAGCACTTGACCCCGGCTCGCCACGGAAACACAGCATCGCCCTTGTAGGCACTCCGAGGTGGGTGGATGACAAGAATGGTGAATCTTTCTCATTTCCTATGGCACAACAAAACCAACCCTCTAAATCAGCTTTAATACATAAAAAAAGAAAATGTGATGATTCAGTGCCCTGTCAGGAAGATGACAGTTGGCCCAGATTTATTGTAATAAAAGGAACAGATGAAAAACCAATTTCCAAAATATCTCCCTTTGTGATTCACAAACAAATTCAAAGCGTTGCTGGTACTGTAAAAAAAGTTTCAAAAATGAGATCAGGCAATTTGTTGGTTGAATGTTCCAACAAAAGTCAATCGACAAATTTGCTTACACTGACAACAATTACAAACTTTCCTGTTTCTGCCTCTCCTCACAACAGTTTGAACAGCTGTAAGGGGATCATTCGAGACAGAAGTCAATACCTTGGTGACCTTACCGTGGAAGAAATCTGTGAAGAACTTTCAAGCCAAGGTGTAACTGATGTTGTTAGATTTCAAATAAAAAAGAATGGAAATATAATCAAATTAAATACATATCTTTTGACATTTAGAACTCCAACTCCTCCTCCATCTATTACTTTAGGTTGCTTCGGAATCAGAGTTGACAGGTTTATCCCTAACCCAATTCGATGCTTCACTTGTCAAAAGTTTGGTCATGGAAGCAAACAATGTCGTGGTACGCAGAGATGCTTCAAGTGTTCTGACGAAGGACACGAGGGAACAACCTGTAGCTCTGAATCTTCTAAATGCGTAAACTGTGGTGAATCCCATTTTTCATCATCTAGGGACTGCCCTGTTTACCTTAAAGAAAAAAATATTATCAAAATTAAAACAGAAAGAAACATCAGTTACCCAGAAGCTAAACAGATAGCTTCTGTTTCGAATGATCTTGTTTCGAACAGACCATCGTACGCCAGCAAAGTTGTCCGCTCATTCAGTCACGAGCATACACAAACTCGCATGACCTGGCCAATTGATGCTGAGACATTTACAATGCTGCCTGTTGAAACAGAACCTAACGATAAAATATTAATTCCAAGAAAACCAACACCTTCTAAAACCAGTACTCAGTCAACTCAATCTTCCTTACAGAGCTCAATGTCATCATCTAAAAAAAATGAAAAAAAGAAATCAAATAAAAAAGATACAGTTAAATCAGACAGTTGGGGCGGTGAATCTGTCTGGGGTCTTCCCAGTGACATTGATGATTCTTCCATTTCCAATAGTCCTCCTTCATCTGCATCTAATAAAACTAGTTTATCTTCTGCATCTAGTACAAAGTCTTCTAAAGCCCCGTCTCCTCTTCGTTCTCCAGAACAGAAGGATGTCCCAAAGAAGCCAACAAATACATCCTCTCAGAAGTCTTCTGATTCGAGGTCGCGGGGTAGGGGTCGAGGCGGAGTAAAACCAGCTGCGCATGGTCCTGGAGATCGACGACTCTCCTCACACAACAGATTTTCAACACTTAACGACGAATCAGAAATGGAAATCGAAAGTGTTCCGCCACCCGAAAGATTACAATCTCAGGGTGAGCGAAATAAGAATGCTGGCAAACTCGATAGCATTCGCCCGTCTATTAACAAAACATGACTAATATCATCCAATGGAATTGCCGAGGTCTTAAAATAAATCTTCTCGAGTTAACGCTTCTAGTTCAGTCTTTTTTACCTACTGCATTTTGTCTTCAAGAAACTCATTTAAAAGAAAGTGACAATGTATCTTTAAAAGGATACAACATGTATAGCACATTTTCTAAGGTAGATGAACGTGCTGCAGGCGGATCATCCATTTTTGTGAAGGACAACGTCATTCATAGCACAGTCCAACTCACCACGGATCTGCAGGCAGTTGCAATTCGTTTATCATTAGATAAAACAATTACATTATGTTCTATATATATTCCACCCAATTCAATTATCGATAAAGCTAAACTCAAAAACCTCACTGATCAATTACCCTCACCATTTATACTTATGGGCGACTTCAATGCTGATATTCGTAAGAAGCATTTCAATGTCAATAATATGTATGATTTATTTAATAATGTTCCATTTACAAATATTGTTTCATTCTTAGAAGTTGGAATATATTCTAAAATATAAAAATGTTATTATATTTAAAACGATTTTAAATTTTATCACGTTATCTTAATGTTCATTTTTATTTGTAAATAATCAATTTGCTTTAATCTAGAATTTTAGTTTATTGAAGGGCCTTTTGTCTGATTTTAAGAATATGCTTTAAATTGTAAAAAAAATATTCGAATTAGCTCTCGCCGCGATATAGCCTTGTTGTGCTAATGCGGCGTAAAGCAACCAACAATCAATCAATCAATCGTATCACAGATTGCTAACAATCTCCTAAAGAAAGCTTAAATACTCAATCTGCACGAAGTTTCCAATGTCACATTTTAACAGAAAAAATAAACTCACATTATGTTTTAATGAGAATATTTTTTTATTCAAATCTTAAGGTAGTTCAAAGAATTTAATTTTACAAGTGTCGTGTGAAACAATCTCATCATTGGTTATATCTATTGTACTTTTAGACTGGAACACTGGGATGTTAACAATGAAAACCTTCATGCCCATCCGTTTGAGGATTTAACACACGATCCACATATTACACAGAAGATGTTTGACTGGATACACGCTTTAGAACCAAATAATAAATTATTCCTGAATGAGTATAATGTGATTACGTCCGGCGATACAACAACGGTTTGTAATATTTTTTAAAAGCAAAAAGAGAGGAACATACTACTTCTCAGAAGACGGAACATAATACTTCTCAGTAGACGGAACATACTGCTTCTCAGTAGACGGAACATACTACTTCTCAGAAGACGGAACATACTGCTTCTCAGTAGAATTAATGTTTTTCCATATCAAATCTCAAAAGAGACTAAGGATAGAAGTTATATACTTAACATGACAAATTAAAATAGAGATTGTAATTCAAAGTAAGAACAATAGTTGAATATACAATTTACACAAAACAGACACCTATTGGCTCATAATATGAAGAGAAAAAATAAGAAAAAAAAATAAAAAAAAATTTTACGATGAGCCCATGATGGGTACAAAGCTTTCTCGTGGGAGTTGGGAAGGGGGGATAGGGGAGGGAGTGGATAACAAAATCATCTAAAATAGAGTTATTGCAAATACTGATTTCTCAAACCTGCGGGGAATGTACTAAACAAATTCCAAAACAAATGACACTAGCGTAATAAAGTTATATGCATGAGAAACAGGTGGAAAATTCATTTTGGACTTATTATTGAAGCATATGAAGACATATAGACATATAATTCATAATTCTGAAAAAAGGTAGAACGTTTAAAATTACGAAGTATTCTAGTCGATGATTAACTTAAATAACATGAGAGTTAAATTTACATATTTTAGCCCTTCAAAAGTCTTGGTAAAAGATATAAAGATAGTGGAGTACCTATTTATGGAATGGGCATACAAGGACATTTTTATTCAAGCCACATTAACTTAGATGTATTAAAGGTAAACTGATAAAAGGAATTATAGTTTTAATATTTGGAATTTGATAAGTATATATGTGTTATTAAAAAAAATTACAAATTCCTTTTGTTATAGTGTTAGATGTAAAATAGAGGCGGATGATACCAAGGGAGATAATAAAAAATAAAAAGTCGAAGAGAAACTGACCAACGTCTTGGCATAAAACGACGAAAAGTCACAAAATAATTTCACAAAACATAACATAGAAAACTAAAGGCAAATATCAAGAGCATGTAAACTGCGAAACGTTCAGATACAAATATTTCATGTATTTTTACATGTATTTTTTAAGAGAGTCTTAAAAGATGGAAAAAGCAGATGATGGTTTCCCATATTTCCCATATTTATATTTGAGCACCAAAGGTATGGACATTTTAAAAAGTTTTGTTCATTTTCCGTAAGAGTCACTTACAGTGAACTGTATACAATTTAATCAACGTCTTAATTCTTTTTTTTATCTTCTGTTTACAGAAAAGAAAACTGTAATCTCATTAACAACCAATCTTAACTCTTCCTTAACATAACCATTGAGTGTCACGACCATATTTTATTCATTTATACATAAAATTTGAAGGTATAAGATGTTACATTTTTGCCCCCCCCCTCCCCCCGCCTGATTGTGTTAAAGGTATAAGAGGTTACATTTTTGGCCCCTTGTCTGATTGTATTACAAATCTTTAAAATACTATTCTTCAATTTTTAATTCTATCTTACATTATTAACTAAATGTTTCAAACTTCTTGATTTTAATGCAAAATTGCAAAAATATGCTTATTTTGAGGTATCGTCATTTTCTCGCAGCCTTTCCCAATATCAAATTGTGCTAAGCGACCTGCGCTGTAAAGTTAATATCTTTGTATAAGACCTATTACTATTATAATTGGTAAAATATCAATTCGATGAAGAGTAAACTCATTTTTTATTTTGACAAAAGGTTATAGTGAATTGGCTATTGAGATCAAATTATGTTATTTGACAGTTTCAACACGACTGCGATATCATAGTGTCGTCGTCACAAGTGGCAAATTTGCACTGAAGTGTCCAGATTATATCTCTTTATTTATATATTCATATATTCATTACTACATTAAATTTATGCTTCATAATGATTTCAATATAATGATTGGCAGACAACAATCACGTGGTGATTTAAAGGGATGTTTTATGCCTCAATTGAACGGTTTAGTATTAAGAAAAAAAATACCAGAAATACTTCCGTTTTATAAATCTATAGGGTTATAAAATATTAACCACAGTTCGTTCAATTAACACTATGATTATCAAGTTGATCCTCACTTGATACAATATAAGTGTACTTCGAGAAAAAAAAAGCCTTCAATTATTTCATAAAATTAACTCAGTTCTAAACGGTTTGAAGAATTTTTTTTTATCACTAACCCTTCCTTGTATCTGCTGGAGAAAAAGTAAGAAAATATCAAATCTAAATGATATACACAACTTTCTTTTGATCGATCAAATACCAGTATCTCATTTTATTGGTACTGGCATGAAAACACTGATATTGTTTTTATTGAAATTTGCTGTTAGTAATACACTTTTGGACAGAATTTGAAATTAAGCAATCTATCTCCTTCGTGCAAAGCTTTGATTCCTTTTTAAGGCTTGGCTTTACTTTTGGTCCTTTTGTGTTTAATGTTTAATGTTTAAATATTTTGACCTCGAGCTTTAATATAGAAATTGGTTATGAAAAATGGAAAAAAAACATCACTGGCTTTTAAATTACTATAAAAATTAAACTTCAAGCTTTCAGGAATTTATGAACTTTATTTAAAATATGATTGTATATTTGACGAACTTCAAAGTAATCATAGGATACTAACCTGTGTATATTCACATCGTATTCTCGTAAATCCTTATTATCTCTTATTCACATAATAATAACGGTACATATTTTATTGCTAAGCGCTTTCTTGAGTTGATATGTGGTTCGGTCACTTGACATTCAAATTTCTACAATGAAATGAAAATATATCGTTAGAGATCATCATTATATTTCAGTATAGACTGGATAAAGTTGCAGAGGCTGGATTACCGATATGGATCACTGAACTAACAATCAAGGATTCTAATGAAAACAATAAGGCAAACGCATTGGACGATGTAATGACAATGTTTTTCAGTCACCCAGCAATAGAGGGCGTCCTACTATGGGGATTCTGGGAGAATGCAATATATGACAAACAACTCTCTCTAGCAACCGGAAGTAACGTGACTGTAAGTATACTTTTAAGTAATACTTATATGAATTGTCTCATATAAAGGCAAAGTAAATGATATAAGCTTAAATAAAGCAAATAATGAGGCAGGGGTTTCAGTCATTCAGTCTATATTTTGACAAATTGAATCGTTCCCTTGCAAAAAACAACACGTTTAACCATATATAAGAATGAAAAGTTTTGAACTGTTCCTTATTCATTGTCTGCTATGCTGTATGATTATTGATTAGTTAATTACTGCTGAGTATTCAGAATCAAATATTACGGGATATGGCCATACCCTGTTTTGTACTAGATTGATAAACTCAGCCTAATCTTTAACGAAATTGCCTTTTAGTTAACAGTCAACATGAGGTGATATTACCCGGACACATGATTAGGACTACAAGGTATCCAATCTTTGCTGTTACTCTTAACTACCGTGTGCTTGTTGGATTAGCAGCAAAAAAAAAACAAAACTGTTAAAGTCTTTGGTTTAACACATATGGAAAGCAAACACACGACACTTGATTTGTGCATGTGACCACGAAATCACCGAGCACCAGTTCACTGTTGTATATGTCATTTTAGCTTTGTTCATTATGACCGGTCTCCAAACAGAGAAATTTATAAGATGACGACGAGACAACATCAGTTAAAAGAGGTTAAAATTTGCTTAATACTTTTATAGATGATAACTTTCTCAAAATAACAATCGGTTCAGAGATTAAGTTTTATAATCCATGCAACTTAGCTCGAAATAAAAGATAATCTTTCATAACTTTTCACAGCACCTAGTATTGCTTGTTTTTTCGTGTTACTGAAGCTTTAAGTTTTGATGTTGTTTGTTTTACAGAAGCCCATCTGTTTAGTTAACTATGTGCTAGTTACTTTTAGAGATGTCTTAAATTGTATCCCTCTGTCGATTTCTATATTTTATTTAGTTTTTAACTATAAAAAGTAAAATAACAAAAATACCGAACTCCAAGGAAAATTCAAAACGGAAAGTCCCTTATCAAATGGAAAAATTAAAAGCACAAACACATCAAACGAACGGAAAACAACTGTCATATTCCTGACTTGGTACAGGCATTTCCTCATGTAGAAAATGGTGGATTAAAGCTGTTTTTTTAGCTAGCTAAACCTCTCACTTGTATGACATTCGCATAAAATCCCATTATATTGACAACAATGTGTGAAAAAACAAACAGACATAATAGGTAAAAATGTAAAAAATAGGGGTACAGCAGTCAACATTGTGCTAAATCTTTATCACTATAAAAACAAACAAATATGTCAACAAAGAAAAACAAAATGGCATATAGATTAAGCACATAAGCAAAAATGAAAGACAAGAATACAAAAAATGACGATAGCACAATAACACAATGGCGAGATGTATAAGAACCGATCCACGCCAAGAGGATATTACCAAAAATGGACTAAAAAGTAAAGGTTTATAATTTATAAAGACAAATGAAAAAACACTATAACACGTAATTAAGACTATAAACAACGCCAGTAGATAGAAATAAGAATATGTGGTATGCGTGCCAATGAGACAACTCTCCATCCAAGTCATAATGCGTAAAAAGTAAACAATTATAGGTCAAAGTACGGCCTTCAACACGGAGCCTTGGCTTACACCGAACAGCAAGCTATAAAGGGCCCCAAAATGACTAGTGTAAAACAATTCAAACATGAAAACCAACGGTCTAATCTATATAAAAAACGAGAAACGAGAAACACTTTAGAACCACATCAACAAACGACAACCACCGAAACAGGTTCCTGACTTAGGACAGGTGCAAAGAAATGCAGCGGGTTTAAACGTTTTAACAGGCGCCAACCTTCACCCTAACCTGAAATAGTAGTACCTAGAATCCAAACTCCAAGACCATCATGTATTCTTTGTGAAGTTGATACGGAATATTTATCAACAAGGTCTTGCTATCTTCCGATAAAATTATTTTTAGAAAAAGGACGAGACGTTCTTTGACATAACCCTGGTTCATCAACTTTCTGCTCAGACACTTTTGGACTATAATTATTGTTCGTGGAATGTTAGTTCTGGGATTTATCATTAGAAAAAAAACCACATAAGCTACAGTACGATATATAAGCCTGATTACTGATACGATAAAATACAGGAAAGAGTTCAAATGAAATTCAGTTCGGGATAAAGAGTTTCAGTAAAAAAATTCAGCATAAACAAACTGACATGATAATCAAAACAAAATAGCAAACTTTTGTTCAAATAAATGTAATTGTCATACTCAATGTGGACAGTCAAATCATACCTTCTTACATTGATACTATAGCTGCTGATTTTTTTCTTGTGAAATTTCAAAAAGCTAAAGTGCAAGAAAAAAACATCCTAGTGAAATGTTTAGAAACTATTTCGTTCACTCCATCCAAGTAAAAATATAATCAAAAGATCACTTATATTTAAAAGAATTGAAGAATGAATCATAAGTCGTAAACTAAAAAAAAGAAAGAAAAGAAATAGGTTCAACAGTATAGCATAGTTAAGTAATTCTTGTCCCAGGGCTTATGTTACCAAACAAAGGTAAGATTAAAAGTACAAATCTTAAACTTGAATTCTTTATCGTCGGCGTTTTTACCATTTCACCCCATTATTTCCTCAGATATCAACTGTTTCTAGCGTGCTCGCCAGAGGTTCGATTTCCGCTGGTCAAACCAAAGGCATGAAAATTGGTATTGACTACTTCTCCACTAAGCACACTGTCGTTAGTAGTAAGATACCAAATTTGTCGTTTTGGAGCAGAATATAATGTCCTGCCGGGTAAGGTGACATGTCTTTCTATGGACTGGTACCCTGTTAACTAGAACGTTAAAACCAGGTTCAGAGTGCCTGTCTAGTACAAAACATGTTTCATATTCATATCAAAATAACACGCCCTCTTCCTGAATATAAAAGCAGTACTTGTCACTAGACTCGAAAACAGATATCCATTCAACTGTAGTTCAAAAATATCATGCAATGAAACAAGAAAAGGCAATATAATCTTATGCTTATTGGTAAACAACCTATAGCATTCAGTCTTTTTTAACATTTGGTTCCCTGCTCCCGATAATTTCATACTTCTCTGGTGTTCCAAAATCTGTGCAGTATGTGTACACTATGAAGAATAATTAGACAAATTATAAAAATACAAATCAAATCTTAATTTTACAACTTAAAATACTAAAAAGAATAATTTGTGCAGAAAAGCTATATAAATGAAATGATTATTTGGTCTTGTATCACAGAATGAATGAAATTGGCTATGAGATGCTTTAAGATTAAAACCATATATACTGGTATTCTCAAGTCCCTTTTTTGCGACCAATATTCGTAAAGATCACTGATTGATAATTCTCTACCTATCCATGTTCATTCATAGTTTCATAGTTTTCGGACCACAGCTTTATACCAATTTGTATGGTCATTATGCACATTAGATTGAATTTAATTAAAGGTGTACTTTAAGGACATGAAAATAAAAAAAAAATATTCATAAAGCCCGCAGAACATCAGATTTGTTAACCAGCCATTCTAGTCGTGACATTATATCAAACTATATACAAAGTATTTTGTTTACATTACCCTTATCGTGTCTATTGTAATGTTTATAATGTTTTGTAGCCGAATGCTGCAGGAAGAAAATGGATTGAATTATTCCATCAAAGATTTAGAACAAACGAAATTCACAATTTCAATGGTCATACAGTGCATACTAGAGCATTCTTTGGTGAACACCAGTTGATACTTAAACAAAACGGAAAAAACGATTCATACAGAGAATGTTAGTTTTAATCAAGGAAGTCGAACTGCAACAATTCATTTACAGGGAACAGGTGAAATCTATATATGAAATAAATCTCAATCTGTATTAGGTATTTTACTGTCAAACTACTTAGCTTTAAGCTTTGGTATTTCAGTTCGATTAGAATGTTTCCATACACTTATGCTGATCATTCCTTATCATTCTAGAATAGGAGAAAAATATGTATGGAAATTTGTAAGAACAAAAAGGTCTGAACAACTAAAGTATAATATAGCAGCTTAATGTTTGTTTCTGTTATTTTGCAAAAAAAAATCACTTAGATTTTTATAATTCATAAGTTCATTAGGAACCTTAACGGTACCAATTATACTACGACAATCAATACATCTTCAAACCAAGAGTTCCAAATGGGGAGGTTGAAATCATCCCTTCGTAAATTTTACGGACGCCATCACGAGTTGGTTGACCGTTATGGAATAACCGTTTCACAGATGATATCGGATATGTTCCTTATGTCGTAACTACAATACCCTCCCTTTTCACGAATATGACTTACCGAATTAGACTATTTACCGGATTTGTAATAACATAAGCAACACGACGGGTGCCACATGTGGAGCAGGATCTGCTTACCCTTCCGGAGCACCTGAGATCACCCCCAGTTTTTGGTGGGGTTCGTGTTGCTTAGTCTTTGGTTTCCTATGTTGTGTCATCTGTACTATTATTTGTCTGTTTGTCTTTTTATTTTTCGCCATGGCGTTGTCAGTTTGTTTTCGATCTATGAGTTTGACTGTCCCTCTGGTATCTTTCGTCCCTCTTTCAATGATGCTCGAGGCCAAAATATTGGAAAGTCCAAAACCTAATAAAAGCGTCGAAGAGCTGATAAAACCAAACATGAACAACGGTTTAGCAAAAGCCGGACAAGGTATCTGAGCTATATACGAGGGAGATGCATTTCTTTATCTGAAATGATTTCGAAATTTCACATGAAGTTAAAATAAAACAATATCCGTATGTTCTTGTAACATGTTTTCCGATATATACTAGTACTAGAGCTATTTATCATGCAACAGGGCTGGAAACTCTTGCTTTACGAAGAGATAAGATACACCATTAAGACTAGTTTATGATATTCCACATAAAAAGCACCTGCTTCTCTATGTAACTTAATTCCACCAAATTGGTCATTGGGCACCAATGATTTATCCTTTCGCAATGGAAATTATTTAATAAACCAAATGTTGTTTTTACACCTTCAAACATACGAGTGTGGAACAATCATAACGTCTCTACTTTCGGTATTGCTTCTTAAGGTAAACCAAAATCAAAAATCACAAAAATTAAAAAAAAGATTAAACATTAAATGTCCATTCATTCCTATAATATAAAAATAAGAAGATGTGGTATGATTGCCAATGAGACAACTCTCCACAAGAGACAAAAAAAGCTTTTTAATAAATCATAAAAGAAATCAGCTGAAATTGTCTTTAAATAACTTTGATTTTTTTTCAGGACACAACATCCATGTGTCAAGTGTTGCATTCGGATGAACCCATATTACCAAAGAAAATAAAGAAAAGAAAATGCTTTCTATTATGTTTACTTATTTGTCATCCATTACACAAGTGACGTAGTATACTTATTTGTCATCCATTACACAAGTGACGTAGTATAATTTGAGTATAACACATATACGTATTTGAAAGCGTTTCTGATTGACGCACGAAAGTTGTGAAGTGTTATTTTTATTTTCAAGATTATCGTAAACCTCATTGTACGTATATACTGATATGAACGACGCGAATTCCAACAAAAAACTAATACTGTGCACTATATGATGCTAACTTTAAGAAGAAAAAAAATGAAATATATTATGAATAGTTGTTTGGTATTGATTTAGTCATGAGTACCATGTAATATGACCTGAAAACTGAGCTAACCACTAACTTGCCATTTTCTTAAGATGGATGCGTGTGAGTTCTGCCAAAATAAAATGAATTAGGCTTTTACATTGAGAGACAGAGGCTACGATTTGAATAGTATGACAAAGTTAAGATTAAAGTCTACGTGAAAAAAACGGCATTCTAGGCATTTAGGGATAGAGGCGATATCAAATGTAATATCATTGTTTATAATGTCATAGAAACCGATAGTAATAATGAAAACAAGAAAAGAGAGAGTGAATTTGCCTTACATGACATATTTGATATTGAGTAATAATGAGAATTAAATCTCGGGTAATTTGTATAGGAAAGCCCATTGGAGGTAAACCTAAACTTATAAAAGTAAAATTATATTAAGTCATGAAAGAGATCAGGGTTATAATTCAGTACACCGGACGCGCATTTCGTCTACATACGACTCATCAGTGTCGCTCAATCAAAAATCATCTAATCCCAGTTCGAATAAGCATATTTTGCAGATTTACCCATTAAAGAACAGAAATATTAGTTGTATAGCACTCGCTAGAACAATATTGGACGGCTTTAATGTGTAGTTTAGGTAGTCAATAGATGTAGTAGGGATTTTTAAATGTTCAGAGAAGGCCTGAAGCATGGTAATGATAGAACTGATCGTTTTTAAAAAATTATATCATATTATTGTTTAGCTTTAATTCAAACTGAGAGCAGATCTTTGATTGTCTCATGTAACTTTATTCTTAACTAGACTCAGGCTTGACGACATATAGTATTGACACTAGTGTTTTGGTGAAAACCGTTTGCTGACACCTGAATTGTTTTCCTGTATTTTAGTTGTTGTATTTGCTTGCAGTCTAATTGTTATATACCTTACATCTAATTTTAAGTGTAGTTTCTGTCAAACGAACATTTTCAGTACTTTCAACGTACCGCAGTAAATATATTTAATTCTTCGCAAGTTGTAAATATGAACTTTGAAAGAATAAATTGCATTTATATGATTATTCGTGTTCAACATGCAAATTTCGGCATTTTGTGGAAGCAAAAAATAAAAAAAAAAAAAACCCAGCACCACCACAATAGATCACGAAAATGTTTAACTTAAAGCTGAGGGTTAAAAATGTATAAGGGTTGTGCTTCTTTCAAGTTATATAAGTGGAATTGTTTACTTCCACTGCACAGCTAATCTTTAGTGTCTTTCATCAAAAATATGCTGTCCTAAGTATATATTTTTTTTTCAAAAAGACAAACTACATTGAAGAAAAAATGAATAATATGTGCCACTTTTACTTTTGCACTGCTCCTCGATAAAAGTGAGGAATGCTACTAAAAGATGTGGTATATAATGTTATATATTGCCTTTCTCTAAGTCCACTCTCTATGCATATAAACATGGAACGAGTTTTGCATACTGTGATGTTGTGTAAAATTGTCAGGTCCGAAGATTATCTGTTGTAGATTTCATCTTGGACAAAATTAATTGCGTTCAATTCAGGCTCTTGGATGATGGCGAAAATGTATAGGAAATAGCCGTGCGATATTCAAAATGGTTGTAACTATTTTTCTGAAGTTACCATTTTACCGCCAGAATAGATTTTAGACTTTTTCAATGACATTATGAATGACGCTCCTTCTGATTACAGATAAATGAACCCTTGAAGCCGGAAACGATTATATTCATGCAGAAAACCAATGAAAACAATGCACACACATAAAATTTTTAAAGAATAGTGTCAAGCGCCTCAAAGTTGATGTAGATTTCTTTTATTAATTGTTTGTATCGCTTGTAGGTTTAAAGCCACAAACAAAAACCCCCAAAGATCGTTTTTTGAGTTAAAATGCAAAATTTTGGTCGACTGTTGGGATTTGTGACTTTTCAAGGCCACAGTGCTTTTGTTATAATGTTGTATTGCTTTTAACGTACTATAATATGAACCTAGAAAACATAATAAATGATTTGTTTAAACTTCTCTTTATTTGTAAAACATTCGAGCCAATGCGATAATAAGCTGGCAAGATATCTTCACTTAAATTGCGAGTACATCAATACATATTTTCATAGCTTATGATGTTGATGATTTGTAATTCCATCCTCCCAGTTTAATTATCCGAAGGCAACGTGTGATACATGAACGTTGCTCCCTGAAAGAAAGAGAAAAGATAATTGGCTACAAAAGGGAAGTAAACAAGGTTAAGTACTGTAATAGTTACTTTTCGAAAGTTGAAATAGGAAAACAGACCATTTAAGATTAAATTGAATGGTTATAATAATAATATGTGAGCAAAACTTTATAAAAATAAAAATTGAATGCTCCTAGGACAAAATTATGAAGTTTTATATATGTAATACTGTTAATATATCTGTCTTATTAGTTTTCGGTAGCCGATATATCCTTTGAAGGAAATCTAATGCAAACCTGAAGGAAGAGAAATGATAAAAACGCAAAAAAGACAAGGAAAAAAATATTACTCAAACAATATACAGAGACCTAATGATTGAGTAATGCAGAGACAAGCAAAAACAAGAGGCGAACTCATGTGCACCGGAAGGGTAAGGATTGAGTAATACAGAGACAAGCAAAAACAAGTGGCGAATGCTGGTGCTCCGGAAGGGTAACGATTGAGTATTACAGAGTCAAGCAAAAACAAGAGGTGAATGCAGGTGCTCCGAAAGGGTCACGATTGAGTAATTTAGAGACGAGCAAAAACAAGAGGTGAATGCAGGTGCCCCGGAAAGGTAACGAATGAGTAATACAAAATAAACATTATCTGATACGGTTCTGTTCATCATTGTTATTCAATTGAAAGGTTAAGGGATTATAACAACAACACAATCTTTAATTAACCTCGCCACATATTCAAGTTCCTGTTATAAGTTATGAACCTGATAATTTTCTTTTGGTTATTTCTTCATGTTATTTTGTCACGTACACAATCTGGTGTTTATGACAGATATCTGATATACTTCGTTTAAATTATTCACTACTTTTCTAGGTTTGGAGCGATAAATAGAGCTTCATATATTGTATGGACTCATGATGTATTCGTGAAGATGTACTATATAAGTTTTCCTCCATAATCTAGATAAAAGGTTTATATACAAACATGAGCCCTAAAAGATGCACCGTAACAGTTGTCCAATCATGATCTAGATAAATAGTTTCTGTATAAACCTTGGCCGTGTTGATGTACAGTAGCTGTTTTCCCTTCATGATCTAAATAAATGGTTTATTTACAAACCCGACACTTGTATATAAAAATAGCGCTTGCTCAATTTAGTGCATCCGAAGCGCCTTTCTTGATCTACCTTCATCAGGAACGCTCAAACTGAAATATTTGAGAGCCAGGGACGTGTAAATACGTAGAAACGTTTCGAGCAATATCATCAAAAAGGACATAAAAAGAACAGCCTTATTCATGTCAGGTCAACTTTGCCTGAGAGAGTTGGAACCGTAGTTTCTCAATTATTTAATTAATTTCTCAGTAGGAAATTTTAGAACGTAAATCAGGGGCGGATCCAGGATTTTAGGTTAGGGGGGGGGGGGGGGGGTAAAATTATTGAAATATTCTTTATTAAGCTGAGGACAACCCATGCTTTGCAAATTTTAGAGGGGGGGGGGGGGGGGGGGGGCTGTAAATGAACAGACGTAGTTTTTTCGCCATGATCTCAGTAAATGGTTTCTAAACTAAACTGAGCCTTGTAGATGTGCAGTTGCAGTTTTCCAACCATAATCCAGATAAATGCTTTCTATACAAACCTGGATATAACATAAAGGGAGATGTGGTATAATGAAACAGCTATCAAACAGAGACCAAATGACGTAGATGCTAGCAACTATAGGTCGCCGTACGGCCGTAAACAATGAGCAAAACATATACCGCATAGCAAGCTATAAAAGACCTCTACATTATAAAACGTAAAACAATTTGAATGAGAAAATTAACGGCCTGATTAACTACAAAACAACAAACGAAAAACAAATACGATATACAGTAACAGCCGACAACCACTAAATTACAGGCTCCTGACTTAGAACAGGCAGATAATGTAGCGGGGCTAGACATGTGTGCGGGCGCCCAACCATCCCCTTACCTTAGCCTTGTAGATGTACACTATCAGTTTATTCCTTCATAATCTAGATTAATGGTTTCTATACACACCTGAGCCTTGAAGATGTAAAGTAGCAGCTTATCAACCATGATTTAGATTAATCATTTCTATACGAACCTGAACCTTGTAGATGCACAGTAGCTGTTTTTCCGCCATGATCTAAATTAATGGTTTCTGTATGTATGATGTTGCCGTTTTGTTTGATCACCAATTGATGTTCGCCGAGAAATACTCTTGTATGAATAGAGGTAGAACCATTAAAAGTATGAGACTCATTAGTTCTGAATCTTTGATGAAATAATTCCATCCACTTTGTGCCAGCGGCGTTTGGCTAAAAAATAAAGGAGTACTTTATTTTTAAAAATGCATTATGAGTGTAGTTGTCATAATCTGAATGCATCTATTATAAACTTAATACATTGAGAATGATTATTTTTTTTTCATACGGTTGATATATATCAATACTTGGTAATATAACATATAATACTATCTATTATAACTTACCGTAACATTATTTCCTGTTGCTAAAGCGATCGTTTTGTCAAAGACAGCACCATCCCAAAATCCCCAAAGGAGTACTCCTTCAACTGCAGGATGACTGAAGTACAATGTCATAACATCATCTAGCGCTGTAGCTTTATCAACGGCATTAGAGTCTAAAATACTTAGTTCTGTTATCCACATCGGAAATCCATTTTCTGCAATTTTATCTAATCTATACTAAAGAATAAATAAACAGTTCATTTAAAAAAAGGATCAACAGATACAAAAGACAACGAAAAATCTTAAGTTGTAGATTAACCGAAAAAATTATCACAAAAACGAAAAACGACGAAAAAGACAATCAGACAATCTACACAACACTACATAGAAAATGAAAGACAGAGCATTACGATCCCCAGCAAACCAGGGTTGATCTCAGGTACACTGTAAGTGCAAACAGATCCTGCTCCACAGTTGACACCCGTCGTGTTTCTCATTGAAAGAACAAATTCGGTGGTATCACAATCAAGGAAAGGAGAACGGGACTATGACTACGACTATTGGAACATATCCGAGGTCACCTGTCAATAACGATCAACCAAATCATGATAGCTTCCGTAAAAATTCGAAGTGATGACTTCAACTTTGTAACAAGAAACATTTTGTTCAATAGCTTTCAAGTAAACAGCAACCCTCTATCAAGGAAATCATGACAGTAAACGCAACTGGGGGATATATATTCCACACGAAGGCGCTGCAGGAATGCCACTACACAAAAATGGAAAATTCACGATTGGATATCTGAAATCATCTCCTTTTACGAAAAGTTGTGTTCTCAACTGACCATCATTGTAATTCCTAGATGTAAGTAACGATATGAGGCAGCCTTAACTGTATCTGTGGTATCCTTTATTTCAAATTCGATGGGATATATGCATGTTACATAGTCACCAGTTTTTGATTTCTTTAGTGAGATAACATCATCTATATAACGGTTTAAGTTGAAGGATAATGACAGCTTCTTTTTTTCTTCCTGAGAAGCTCTTTCATATGAATACAAGAAGAAGAGGACCACAGTTTGTTCCCATAGGAATACCAATAGAATTCCTTCAAATGTAATAAATATGTTGATAATAAAAAATGATTTATCACAAGGTGATCTAAAAAAATATTTTTTCTCATCAAAAACAGGCATATTCGTTTAATTTGATTATTCTTAGCTAATATGTAACTAACCAGGAAAGCAAATTTCTACAGTATATAAAGCAATGACAAAAAACTACAATTTAGAAAATACCAACTTCCGTACCTTCTCTTCGATTGTATTTCTTGTTTCCACGTCTGTCTTTTTGACGATGCACATATTTGAAAGTCTGGGTCTTTCTCTTTCAAAAAAAATAAAAACTCAAAGGTTCGTCGAAAAAGATATTTCGTTTTTCCTCCTGTGCTGACATGAAGTATCATTGATGCGGTCGTTGTCTCTAATTTTAATGTTCTTAAAATATTATAATCGATCTCATTCTCATGTTTCTATCAAAAGCCGAAATGCGCAGATTTGTCAGATCATTATGCTATATATGTCTTGTTATTATTTGTGTTGTTGTGTTATTGTTTTATAGCGTATACAATAACATCTTTCATTCATAGATATGTATTACCTTGAGAACATCCATATCAAGATGACTAGTTTTAAAATGACTTTGAACTCCCATTCCGTATATTGGAACACCACTGTCTTTGAATCTTCTTCCCTGACTTTTGTAAGCCTGTTAAAACAAATCACAAAGTTTACTGAAATAAATTGAAGCTGATCCATTTGTTCTACTTTTTAACTCTTTATATTTAGAAAATACACATTACAGTAAAACGTTTACTAACGTATTAAACAAAACCTTTAAAATAATGGCTTGCAGAATTTGGTTTTCCTCTCGACCAATGTATTAACTTTTATTTCATTTAAATCACTGTTCATTAAATTTATCTATGACATATTGCGGGTCCGAGGTGAAATGTATATATTTTTCATATCCCTTTTGTGAAAGATTTGCATACCATATTACAGAAATATTTGTGAATATCAGTTTAAAAAGTTTACAAACTACAAGAAAATAACGTTCAGTATCAAGACAGCCATATTCATTATAACTCTACAAACCGTTGTATAAAGATTAGAATTCACAACGCCAAAGTCATTCAGAAACAGCTTAACACTTGGTTCTAATGAATGTATCCAGTTGAACATTTCCATGGTGATATTTAAATGTCCTGTTTTTTGTTCAAAATAATCTCCGTGTAAATTTTCGTTGTTCACATCCCAATGTTCCAATCTGTAATTATATGATATGTCTTTGAAATGGATAAATGAATTTTCTGTTGACCTTCACCCATTAAAACTTTTATTAAATAGTTTAGAATTTTTCACAACCCTTACACACCAAACCGCAGGATGACCGTAGAAGTGTTAGTAATAATAAGCATCATCCTCCTGCTATTCATGCCGAACCCTCAGTGCGATTAAAAGGTAGCACATACCAATGTCAGGCTCGAGACAAAACCGATGATTATGCCAGATCGACGAAAATGGCATCTTTTAACAAAGAGCTTAAATATCTAGTGAGTTAAGACACTTTTCCAGACACAATCGCAGAAGTTTGAAAGTGGTCATTCCGAGAGATTTTCAAGATAAGCTTGATGGAATAGTTCTGAGTAATGGAACATATAATATTCCTCTGTTCGTAATATCGACATAATTGGAAAAATATCTCGCCTATCATGTCGTATGAAATGAATAAACTGCATTAGTCAGTTGATGAATCAGTTGCTAAAGAATCGGTTGGATTGAAGTTCTTTGTGAATTCTTTAAATTTGATTGATTGATTGTTACAGTAGTTTGATGAACTTCCGGTAGGAAAATATTTCATGCATATTCCGGAGAAATAAAAAACTAAAATCGACAGTAGTTTTTTTTATATTTTGAAGTCTTCACTCTTTTCAATGCAATCACCTTTCTATCTGTTAAAAACGTATTTCAAACATTTGATAGCATTTAAATATCTCAGGCAAAATGTTTTGAATAAGTGCAAAAGGTCAACTAAAACATCATACATAGTTTACATAGTGAATTATTGCTCAGTCTCTCATCCAGTAATTTGCTGTGATGAGAAAGTCTATGATAAAAAGTATCAACTTACAGTCCATTTGTATGAGATATCATGCCATTAACTCTTGTGTGCATTTGTTGTAATAACTCAGTAGATGACATACCATCTAACCAGCTTGGAGAATGACCAGTAGTGCCCCAAAACATGTTATGGCCCCTTACTTTCATACTATAAATAAACCAATTGTTGCTATAAAAGTAAACAGAAGCGCAGAGTATCCGTTTCTTTTCAAGTAGTCTGTTCCAATAACGCAGTAGTTTGATCACTATTGTCGAATTGCTATCACTATATAACTATTAAAAGTAATTGGAACATGAGTTACGATAGTTTTGAACAGTATCAACAACATATGGTAACTAAATATATGGGAGAACACTTCATAAGTTTGATTAACTTGTGTTGAAATTTCTCAGCTCCAACTCGGAAATTAGAAATGTCAAGTTAGAACTGAGAATTGTCAAGTTGGAACTGAAAAATGTCAGTTGGAATTGAGGAATGTCACGTTTGGTGTGAAAATGTCAAGTTTGAAATGAGAAATGTAAACTTGGAACTTAGAAATGTCAACTTGAGACTAAAAAAAGTGTTATTTTAACAACAGCGTGTCCCTACCGGTATTTCATAGTTACTTCTTTTTCGTGCCGTGGAAATAAAAAGGAAAGAATGTTTAAAGAATATAGCACAAGTGTCGACAAAAAAAATGGAGATATTTAAAAATTATGTTTGTTAGAACAAATAACCTGTCTAACATTCAAACAATATGTAGGTGTCGATATTTGCGCTCTTAATTACCTAGGTGTTTTCTTCATGTCCAGACGATTTTGTCAATTTTCACCAAAATCTCTATTTTGACCTTTTTGGCGTATAACATACTTTATAAGAAAACCTAGACAAGAATAGGTTCTACAAATATATTCCACCTTCTCACATGTTTATGCATCAACGTGAAACATTTTCTTCTTGAAATAAAAGACATGAGTTAAACTTTCATGAGATCAATAAACATTAAAGAAATTCAGTTTAGAAATGATCTACGTTTTTGTTCATCCTTTGCTTTCAAATGTTACAGTTTGAGCGTTCCTGATGAAAGTAAATCATATATTTGAAGATAAAAGGGAACATATGTGTCCATGTGGCAGGCTATCGGTACAGGACCCACATGTCCGTTTGGAAGCACAAGGATTACAGTCGAAATTATATTGATATTTTCTCTTCATTCTTCTAAAAGCGCCCATGGGAGAGATTTGTGTTGAGTGCTTTGAAACATTTTTAGATAATTCATTTTTTTTAACATAAAAGAATATTAAAATAGTAACATATTTGTTGAAAATGACGCGTCACATGAATCTAAGAATACATTGATTATTTCAAGTTGATTGTTTAGTCATTGCTTAATCGAAATTTGTTTTGTTAATAATATTACTATAGATTCTAATGATACAAACAAATAGTGTTATAAAACTAACAAATGATAAATTTAACATTCATGTGATGAGCCAATTGAAAATTAAATTTACCCATGTGCCTTCAACACTTTGACAGCATCAACACCTTTGGCATAATTAATGTGATTCTGGAATATTAAAAATTGGTATTTCAAAAATTGTAATGATATTTCCCACAACATGCGTATGCATATATTGTCCTTTCACATGCTTTCAAATTGTTATACTAGTACATGGTAATGATCGATACAGAATTTTACTGAAGTTAGCAAATTTTGATGTAGAAATGCAATTAATTTGTGGGACTTTGCTATTTCTTATCACTTACTTGAACATTCAGTTTTATTTTTAGTTATATAATATTGCCTTTACCGTGTATAATCCTTAAGAAATATACGAAATTTTCACAATCTTTAGCTTGAAATCAAACTCGACGACCTTTGGTTCATATGTATTACATTTTAGCAAAATGTATAAAAATTCCATCATTTTGTGTTTGTACTCCATTCTTTATTATATGTGATACATATCAATTAATTCTAACATGGGGAACACGAAAAGTTTGAAGGAGCTGACGATAACTGTTTCGGTTTTTAGTAAGGTTCAATATTCTTATTATGTTTTCTTTCTATTTTTTGTTGAAATGGCTGCCATATTTTTGCGGTCCCTTTTTTTTTACAAACAAAAACCCCAAAATTTCTGGTACACTTTGAAAACCCTTGATCCACTTTAAATAATTGCATATGTAGGCATGCTTTTCAAGTACAAGGCCAAATAAAAGATAATTCTAAAAATAAAAAAATAAACATGTTATCAAGAAAAACAACATAGATTGATTGATGCTTACTTTTGTCCATTCCATAAGCCTCCACTTCAATGCATTTTCTGTGACGGCCCATTCAAAGTTGTTATACACGAAGTCCTGGTAAGCTTTATATGTACTATCTGTGACATATGGTGCTTTTATGGCTGTTCCAAAAGCAAACTTACTCTTTGTCTGTTTTATCTTTCAAAAGAAGAAAAAAGCTTGATTAATTTTTCGTGAGACAGTACTAGAAATATTAAGTTTATTTTTCTAGACGAATTATAAAACTTTTTCTTAAAGAACTTGTGTACTGTAAGTTTGAAAGGATAGTATTTATCTCACAGACCTTTACATATTTTATGGCAAACGTTTGAGTGATTTTTTTTTTAAAAAGTTGACATATTTCGCTAAAATCATTGCTGAATATTGGAAGATTTTGAAGAGTCATAAATAAATAATACCTGGACAGTTAGACCATTGGTGCTTGATGGTTGACTGATTGCAAGGCTTTATTATGAAAATAAAAAGAGAACATATAAACGTATTCGTATTTGTTTCATAATTTACTGGTACTACTGACAATAGCGATCTTCTTTTAACTCATTGACATGGGTAAAATTTCTATCTTTTATGCACGTCAGTGAATTCAGTCAGCAATCCTTTATAAAGAGTAATTTATATGTCTTGTTGTAACTTCTTATAATAATAATAATAATAATAATAATAATAATAATAATACAAATATACATGTATTATGAGGTGTATGCTCTTCTATATTTTTAATTTTATGGTGTACTTATTGAATTATCGTTCTCTCAATTTTAGGCCAGTTTGTGCACTAAAATTTTAAAAAGACGCACACCACCTATTCTTGGCCTTCATCTCTTTCTATTTAAATTTTTTCAATATCAAGCATTTAGGGAGGGGTGGTGTCTATATACTGTTATTTACACAGACCGTACTGTTTACCGGAACATTGGATTTACCAAATCAGGTTCTTCGTATCTGAGAAATAGTCAAATAATCAATACTAGTATATGCCCTCCTTTTTAGATAAATTCATACAATTTTGTATTTTTCAAAATTATTAGTCAAAAATGTTTCCATTAGACAATTAGGATTTCCGATAATTTTATGCAGAGGTTTTCTATTTAAGTATTCTAAAACATCGTCTTTTATTATAGAGTGTAATTTTCCAGATAAAAAATTTTCTTCATTGAATTGATTACTAAAGTTATGATGTTTACCTTATGTTTAGCGATCCCTTTCGAAGGTTATTTATTCTTTGGTTTGCTTTAGTTTTCCAGTTAGGGTCATGTTCAATGTATTGGCAGCTTGAATAATCGAGGAGATAATTCACTGAAGGGTTGTCCACTTGGGTGGAGATTTGTATACGCGAAGTTCCTGTAACATGTGTAAATAAATAGTGATACATAAATGAATTCACATTTATTTGTAGACTGGATTTATCTCCTATCCCTTGTTGTTTTAATCATTCGTCTAGTCATTTTCATTCCATGTTAATAATAACGGTAAAATTAAGTATACACGTCGAATGGATATAATTAACAAATGCTGGATGTGATATGTTGCACTTTAAATAAATTTAGTAGTTAGTATTTCATTTTTTGTCAAACAGAAAAGCACAATTAGTCCTATACAATATTTAATCAAACCGTAAAATATCTTCATTGGACTCATTTGTATGACGATACAGAACCAGATCTACATAAATTACCCCTTTAGTATAATGTTTTACACCTCCTAACTACTGTCAGATAATATGATTTTAGCAAAAATAATGTAGATCATGCGAGACATTACCTGCAGGAATAAATATATCTCCACCGATTTCTGTCCATCCATATTGTGGCTGAACATATTTGTTTAAACCAATAACACTATGGTGAAGTCTTCCTTTAATATAAGATTTCATTATGTTTAAGGTCAAATTAAGATATATCATGCATATATAGGATGATAAAAGACAGTTGACTTGCACTACATACAGTAATGCTAACATGGAGTCTATAGTCTTAGTTTTGATGATCAAATATACTGTGGATTCATTATTATTCGTTGGATACCAATTTTCGTGGGTTTCGTGGGTACAGGTGAACCACGAATTTAAATGTTCAACGAATAGCAAATGTTCTATAGGCTTTATATGCAGAGTTTGGCAAAACCACGAAATCAAATATCCACGTAAATGCAAGTTTTCCACAATCCACGAAAATTGATACCCACGAAAATTAATGAAACCACAGTATATAACATACAAGTATACATGTTTTAGTTGTAAATTAAAAAAAAAAAAAAAAAAAAACAGATGTGGCATGATTGCCAATTACACAATGCTACTCAAAAGATCAAAGGGCAAAGATGTTAACAGCTACAGATAACTCAACATCCTTCAATAAGTACTGTAATACCTTGTTGAAGATATGGCAATTTCATAATTTTTGTGGATACACGTGTAGGTCTTTAGGCCCTAATTTATTGATAATTTACAAGATTGCTTATATGTAGACAATAAGTCTTTTTTTTAAAAGAAAACAAAAATTCAAATACAAAAAAATCAAGCTTTATTTATGCTAAACAGATGGTACACATACATCTGTACAATTTCAAAATCATTGATTTAAAATGTTAAAGGAAAATCCGAAATCACGACATCAAAAGATGCAAATACAGATTCAGTCGGCAAATCACTAATAACGACGGTGCGAACAACTTTCCTTTTACAGGAGCGAAATAAATATTTGCAAATACATGATTTTATTCATAAATCTAAGTGGATTTTTAAATTCACTATACATATGAGGAGATGTGGTGTGATTGCCAATGAGTCAACTATCCACAAGAGTTAAATGAAGTAGTAATAAGCAATCATAGGCCCCCATAAGGCCTTCAACAATGAGAAAAATCCATACCATATAGTCGGCTATACACGAAAAATGTGAAACAATTCAAAAGAGAAAACTAACGGCCTAATTTATAACAAATTATTTACGAAAAACAAATATGGCAGGCATGAACCAACGACAACCACTGTACTTCAGGCTCATGACTTGGGACAGGCACACAGACCATATGAGTATTTTGACATACATGTATGATTGATAAAATGGGAAGAATAATCATTACTAATCTTGGCTAGTCATACCATATCAGTGTATAGACAATAGTAGCATAATCTTTTGTGTATCCTACCCAGATGAAGGTAGTCAACTTTGGAGTGCTGTGATTTGGGATGTATGATATTCTTTTTCAGCACTTCATAAAAACAATGCCATTTATCGTTCTGTGTAATTCTAATACTAGTAGATTACTTACATCAGGAAAAAACCAGAAAAAATATGACCAGATAAAAACAAATAAAAGGATAAATTTTAAACTTATTTGTTTTGTTAACTGTATTGATGCAAATGGTTGAAACATACATTTATTTAAAAATTGCACAATGGAATTTTTGGCGCACGATGCAAATTGAGAACTGTTAAATATATTTAAAATGCAATGCTTGAAACAAACAATTACTACAAATTTGTACAATGATATTTTAGCCCCACGCTGCAAACTTGTATTTTGGACAATACGAGATCAAGTACATGCTAAATGGCAAAATTACAAATACAAATGTAATACATTTTGACTAAACGTGCGTAGAAATCACACTCATCATTTCTACACTAACCGACATTTTACCGTGTGGCAAATTTAAAAGCTTGATGTATGCCCTTCATTTAATTTTTTTCCACCCTACAAATGGTTAAAACATAAATATATTTAAAAATTGCACAATGGAATTTTATGCCCACACTGCAAATTGAGAAATGTTAAATATATTGATGCAAATGCTTGAAACAAACATTTACTACAAATTTGTACAATGGTATTTTAGTTCCACGATGCAAATTGAGAAATGAATATCGCCATCGAAGTCCGGCAAATTTGTATTTTGGACAATAAGAAATCAAATAACGGCTAAATGGCAAAATTACAAATAATACATTTTGAAATGAAAACTTACCGTGCGTAGAAATTGCACTCATCATTTTAACACTAACCGACATTTTACCGTGTGGCAAATTTAAAAGCTTGATGTATGCCCTGCATTTTAAATTTTTTCCACCCTGCACATTGAAGAACTGTGTCAATCCTGATTGAATTCTATGTCTGTAACGTAAACAATTAGCAATTATATGATTATTTAATATATTGCTTTTGTCGAACAGACATTAAATCTAACAACAGTGTAACTGTTGCTTTATTAATTGTATCCAATTTTGCAATTATATACTTAATCTATAGAACGAAAGCTTCAATGTAGCATATTTTTTGCTGTGACACAATTAAAAATGGTCAGCAAGGCATATGTGTATAGTTCTATCAATTCAACAAATACCTTGGTGAAGTTAACCGTAAGAAATTGGAGATAAATTAACTTGTTTTGTATTATCAAAAGGCATGCAAGTTTAAAATATAAATCAAGATTTTTATTTTCAGATCACTTTGACATATTGTAAACTTTGTTCATTATCTACCATTTTTTGGACCTTATTGGACAGTAGTAGTCGTGGAAAGTAACAGCAGGCATCTCGTCATACAGCAGCACATCCAGTAAAGGTATAGCAAGTTCTTGTACAGAAAACGGCAAAAGTTATAAAAAATGATTTCCATTTGATCAGAGATTAACATGTCTTTCTCATAAGTTTACCTGTTTGTAACTTTCAGACTTCGATGACCATGGTAACTGGTATTTACTACTGATGCTTGACAATCCTTGCACACCCAAGGAGAAATGTTATGTGGATGCTCAAAATCAGAATTTTGCAACAAATCTGCTGCCAAGAGACTGCTAATAGTCAAGAATATTAGGAACACGCTGTACTTGGAGATCAGCATGGTCGCCAGGTTTAAAGTAATTGATGTATGTTTTGAATCCAGAGGCGTGGGCTTTTAAAATGATTCTCAAGTTCTCGTGCCTTCATAATAAATGAGATATTTATAGAGCGACTTAAAAATAAATTAAAAGTCTTGTCACAAATTTATAAAACACAATCATAATAAAACACGAATGCCTTAAAGATTATGACAAATGCTTGTTAATTTTACATATTGTGACACCTCAATTAATTTCATCAATAACCTAGATCAATTATTGGCACTGGTCGTACACTCATAATTTTAATGTTGTAAATGTCCCGTAGACATGCAAGTAGATATGGTTCCAAATCTCTTAGGACAAATTGACCTTAAATGGTATTTGCTATGCATTTAATATTCCTTTTGGTAAAGGTAAAGTAATCCCATCAATAGTTTTGCCAGTCATCATGATTTGATTGACCTATATGGAATATCTGAATCACAGATGACCACGGATATGTTTCTATTGTGGTAGCCACAATTCCATCATCCTCTCTTATTCGATTGTGACATAACCGAATGCGACATATAACAAATTTTGCCTTACCACGACGGTATCCAGTACTGAAGCGGGGTCTGCTTCCCCTGGTGCCCCTGGGATCACATTCAATTTTTGGGGTGGGGTTCGTGTTGTTCTACTTTAATATTTCTGTGCAGTGTTTTGTAGACTGTTGTTTGATTTTTTTGTCGTTTTTTTGGTCATGACATTGTCTATAACTTTTAATTGTCCCTGTGGTACCTTCCGTTTTTCGTCATACACTAGTGGTTCCGCAAGTAGTTATACATCTTTGGCCTACATTTGTTTTTGGTTTTGAGGGACCCTGATGAAAGTAAATCGGAAAATGCGCTTCGAACGCAACAAATGTATAGTGCTTGTTGTGGATGTTTCTTTACGGTTTGGATAGTTAGATGTCGTTTATATTAACTTTTATGACTTAGGTATAATTAAGCAAAAATGACAGCGGGGAGTGTATGTGCCTAAACATGTATAATCGCACAAGATCTTGTGTCTATAACAAACCAGGCTATCTTGACAATGCTGTTCATTATGTTAATGTTTTTCATCTTTGTTGGAAAAGTCAATTTCTGATGGTTAGTGTGATGTGTTGTACTGTCCTATATTTTTAGTAACTAATGTTATATCTTAAATAACTAGGGATGTCAACGAGTACTCGGGTACTCAAGTATCGCTCGATAGAACCGAGTATCGAATACTAAATTGATACTCGACAAGTCGGTTTCCTGTTTGAACACTGTCTTCTTCAATTCAATAAACTCAATTTCTTGAGATCGCATCAGTGATTTCTAATCATCATACTTTTGTAAATGTATTTTCTTAACAATCTCAAATGTTATTGTTTGATCTGGTTTGACTTTGTAGTGATTTATATTCAATATGTATTAATTTAAATATTGATAAGATTATTGTTTATTTAATTAATACATGTAGTTTATGAACAATTCATTATGATATATAATTCCTTGGACTGTGGCATAGTACCAGATATTTTAAAAAAAAAATTTGTAGATATTATCTGAGCGAGTAATCCAGTATCGCTCGGTAAAACCATCAAGTACTCGATTATAAATTCTTCTTCAACGATTTTTAAAATCCCTATAAATCTTTCGAGTAATTAACATCGATAAACTACCGTTGCCTGATATTCATATATCATTTTTCACAAATGCAACTACAAAATATTTGTAAGAAGTCCTTTCTTTTAAGTTGACATTATATAAATGGTGTTTTTTTCAAGATGATTATCAATGTTACGATAATTTTCATCTCAAATAAAGAAAAATGCTATATACGATTGAACATTGTAGTGTATTGTCATTTTGTTTTAATATTGAGAACTGCAACAAAGTTTACCGTTTTCATGCCAAAAAAAAAAAATCAAATCAAAAGTGAAAAATAAAATTAGAAGTAAGCAATACTCGTTTCAAAAATTCATTTAATTAATTAACAAATTACAAACTAAAAAAATTTAGACTTCGAGGATCATGGTAGATGGTACTTACAAGTGATGCTTGACAATCTTGTCTATCGAAAGGAGCAATGCTAAATAAATGCCCAAAATTTGCGATATATCACTTGTCAAGAGAATGTTAACATTTAAGAATAGTACAAACACACTATAGATAAAGATACTCATGCCGGTCACGTTATAATATATTTAACCTTATTCTAAATATCTCAGATAAGGCCTTCACTATGTTGCACAAGTTCGCTTGACTCGATAATACAAATTAAATATTTGATAAAAATATATATAAAAAAACAAGAATGTGTTCATAGTACTCGCAATATCATTTTCTATGTTCAGTGGACCGTAAAATTGGGGTAAAAACTCAAATTTGGCATTAAAATTAAAAAATCATATCATAGGGAACATGTGTACTAAGTATCAAGTTGATTGGACTTCAACTTCATCAAAAACTAAATTGACCAAAAACTTTAACCTGAAGCGGGAACTATCATTTTCTATGTTCAGTGGACCGTGAAATTTGGGGTCAAAACTCTAATTTGGCATCAACATTAGAAAGATCATATCATAGAAAACATGTGTACTAAGTTTCTAGTTGATTGGACTTCAACTTCATCAAAAACTACCTTGACCAAAAACTTTAACCAAAAACTTTAACCTGAAGCGGGACAGACGGACGGACGAACGAACGGACGAACGAACGGACACACAGACCGAAAAACATAATGCCCCTAGGTAGGGCATAATTATGAAAACTATTGTCCAAAATTTGATAAAAAACACAAGTCTACAGGATTTAGATATGGAAATAAGGAGATGTTTCATGATTGCTAATAAGACAACTATCCCCCTTTTTGCTAGAACATTGTTTTTGTCCATTTACTACTTTTTGGTTTGACCAGATCTTTAACGTTTGGATAAATATTGTCAAATAGTTTGGCCTCGAGCATCACTGAAGAGACATTTATTGTTAAAATGAGCATCACATGCAGTAAAATTTGCACCGTTAATGTTATTTCATTCCATATTTGTACGCTTACATCGCTCCTTTTGTTATTTCTTCACTTTTATCATAAAAATTTAGACTTTGCAAACATTTGTATAATGTGTTTACTTTAGACAAGACATGATCTAATTAGGGAAAAGGGATGGGGTTTGCACAGGTAAAAAAGGTGTAACCCGAACATATAATGTGTCTGTACAAAGTGAGACTATCTGGACCATGCACTGGTTATTGTTTGCCTTCGTGTATACGTTTTTTTTCTCGGAGGAGTAAGTTGTTGGTGTTTTATTGTTCAATATTTTTGTAATTCTTATATTTGTTTACCTATAAAACTTAGTTAACAGGTGTTATATGCCATTATTGTTTTTGCACCTTCTTGTTTAGTGTATCCTTTTTGAAGCTATATCAGTGATTATTTGTCTGGAGCCGTTCATACTAACATCTCATCATCATTGGCAAACTTAGCCATCCTGTTTTGTTCATCTTGATTTAAATATTAGAAGATTCTGTCCTTGGATATTTCTAAAAATACGTTCTGTATTTCAATTTCATTTATTTTATCGTCTACTTGAACTAATCTGCTAATCTTAAAGGGAAAATTAGGATTAAGGACATACTGTGAAACAGAAAATATTCTGATTTCTCATATTAAATGTAAACTGTAGGATAACATGTTAATACAAAGCAGGTGTTACATGTGAAAGAGAACGAAATCTAGTAGCTAGCCAAGTAAAACAGTTTTACTGATTGAAATAGAAATAATAAAATGGTTTTGAGTCTGATTACTAAGAAAGTCATTTCTTTTTACTTTTGGAGTTCATGCGATTTCCTCAGTTTCTGTTTGTTATCTTGTTTGTCTCTACCTAATCGATTCACGAAATTTAAAGATCGGTAATCTGAAAGTAAGCTGAATCATGGAATCGCTCCCAATGTTGGTCATGCTGTTAGGCATTTAACTTATGACGTCATTATCTATGTAAACAAAGAAACGTTGTCTTCAGTGTTTGTGCCAGGTAACTTTTTTATTTTTTTTATCTTATTGAAGAACTATTTTATTAAAATGATAAATATTTCTACACGAAAATGGAGAAAAAATACACTTTAGTGGTTTTCTACATTTGTTGACCAAATTTTTTATCATTTATCGGGTGAGCTTTCCCTGAGACTCATGTTGCATTTTGTTTCCAATCTTATAATTCATATGTCGAATCAGCATTACAGGCGAGAATTTTTTTATTAATAAAGTAGTGAATTAATAAAAAAAATGTTTTAATTCTTCAATTAACATACTTTTTCAATTTAAAAATATTTACTTGGCCCGAATGAATCTTTTTCTAAGTTATGTGGTAGTTCAACATCACTATGTCTGACAAAGGATCCATTAAACCTCTTTCCAAATAATAAACAATTGATTTATCAGCAATCAAAACCGAGCATCAGCGTTACTGTGAAACTATCTACTCTAGGAGCGGTGTGAATCTGATGTGGATACTAAAATTTTTCCAAAGATATGTAAGAGTACATACAATCAAAGTGTCGTTCCTCTCGCAGTAGTATAAAAACATTTTACTTCGCTACCTTTTAAGTATTCTTTATTTTAAACTTAAAGACAGATGGAAAAAATCATTCAAACTTTGTTGCAAAAAAAAGGGCTACTACAGTTTCAAATATCTTGTTTTATGAAGTTATATATCATACTTCGTAAAACACCTCTCTGATTCATACAACAAATTCTCTAAATCTGACATCATCAAGATGCTTGATTTTCTTATTGAAAATATATGTGTTACGTTTAGAGATCGTGTTTTTCAATAGACAATCAGCATTCCTATTGGAATCAACCTCTTATTATCGACTTGTTTCCTTATTCATATGAGGCAGATTTCATGCATGAGCTTCTCAAAAAGAATGAATAGAAGCTATTATTATACCTCAGTATGTTTTTTCTATATAAAAAAGAATGAAATATTTGTACTATTTCATTCCACAGACTATTTGCCAGTCAATAGTTTTAAAGACTATTACCCCGGTCAATAGTTTTATAAACATATTTCCCGTACTTTTTCATACTTATTTGTCATTGGACAACAATGACGTCATTGACTATTCTGCTTGGATTTGTGCGCTTGGCAACGTTAAACTCTGAAATATCGTAAACGGTATGCATAATCTATATGTGTCTGTCGTCGTAATTTGAAATTAACATATTACTTACTAGAAGCATTTTTTTAAAAAAGAAAAAGAAAATCTACGCGACATATTTTAAGAACTAAAACATAACAAATGTATGGTATGGGTCTGTCGTCGTCTTCATAATCTGGGATTGCTTTGGTGTATGGTAAAATATTTTAGCTATAGCGTTTATCATATGCACGGGAATTTTTACACAAGGATTCCTGGTCTTGATTAAAGTAAATGAAATATTGACAAATACCACACGGGCAAAAAAAAAACAAAAAAAAACAACCGATAGATCGATCATCTTGTGCATGTATTTTGTGACTATTTGGTTTTTTCCAAGTGGTGTATGTAGTCTTCTTATAAAATTGTTTTGTTCGGTATAATAAAACACCTAATGACTGGTATTGAGTGTAATAGCAAGTTTGTTGTCCCTTTGATACTAACTATTGCCCTCGGCTTCGCCTCGAGCAATAGCTGGTTTCTTAGGGACAACAAACTTGCTATTACCCTAATAACCAGTCGATAGGTGTATAGTATTATATTTTAACTTCAAGTTCCGCTTAATCGATGATGTCCTCTTACCAAATAATTCAAAGTTCGATGGTTTGTTGAACACATATTTTCGATCGAACGAACTTAAAATGAAGGATATCACAGTAAAGTCTGCCTCATATCTTGAGCTATATCAAGAAATTGACATTGAGGGTCTGATGATAACAAAACTTAACGAAAAAGGAGATGATTTCAGCTTTTCAATTGAAAACTTTCAATTTGTATGGAACAATATTGCAGGTGACCCTGTATATAGAGTATATGTCTCTCAGTTGAAACGATATTCCAACGCTTGCGTTTCCTCACATGATTTCCTTGATAGAGAGTCTCTGCTTACTAGGAAGCTATTGAACCAAGGGTTCCTAGTGGAAGAATTCGAAAGTTTTACGGCCGCCATCATGAGTAAGTTGAATGATATGGAATATCTGTGTCAAAAATGACCACAGATATGTTCCAATTATTGTGGCCACAATCCTCTTCCTCTAAATCACGAAATTGGTACAAGAGCAACACTAGACACATTTCATGTAAACTACAAATTCCGTGATGAGTTTCATTTGGTGATGTCACGATCGAGAAAATGAGGAAGGAACTGTGGCTAATGTCCACACGTGTAAAAGGATCTCTTTAACCTTTCAAATCACCTTAAATAACCCTTGTTTTTTATGGGCCTTATTGGTCAGTCTTGATATGTTATGTAGTGTATTGTAGACTGTTTGCCTTTTCGTCGTTTTCATTTTTTTCATGATGTTGTCGGTTTATCTTCTACTTATGTAATTTGATTGTCCCTTTTGTAACTTCCATCTCTTCAAATATTTGGGCCTATGTAATAAGTCGTTCTTATGACGTTTGCATTAATCATCACATGAAATGTTAAAAAGAAAGATGATCTTAATATCATATCAAGCAGATTGCAAATTTTGAGAATCGTGACTGCTTCCAACAAATGTTGTTTAAAAAGCTCTTGAAATGCACCAAACTCGAGGTCAATCGGAGTAAACGACGTCACCGAACAATCAGTTTTTACTGTGACGTAATAACATAAGCATTGTGACATAGGAAATTTACGGGAAAATGCACGAATTCGAAAGTCGTCTGTATGAAAACCATAGATGTTTGTTCTCAAAGTACAAGTATTTTTTTTAGTATAGATATGTCGCTGGTTATTCTCAAATTCATACCTGTTTTGATTCGAGCGCCACTGATGGCTCTTGTGTAGACGAAACGCGAATCTGGTGTACTTATATTATAAGTCTTGGTATCTTTGATGAGTTTTCAGCTTTGAACAAATAAATATAAGGCAGTAATTTTATAATTTGAATTCAGGGATACATATTTTTGAGGATTATGATTTTGTTGATTTGTTATATCAGTTCGCTTATTTGTAGATCAACACTCGTTGTTTATCATTCCAGGACAACATGTGATACATGAAAGCTGCTACCTGAAATAAAAGATTGTAATGTGTTAATTAAAGGGCTATAGATAATTGGTTTCAAAATGAAAGATACTAAGGGAGTTACTAAACCAAAGTTAAAAATGAAAAGAGACCGTATAATTTATATGCTTAGAATAATAAAAAGTGAGCAAAACTTCCTAGAATCAAAATCAAATGGTTCTGGAACAAAACTTTGAAGTTTTATATATGTAATATTGTTTATATTGTTTAATTTATTTACAACTTTTTTTAGATTTGGGATAGTATAGAGCTTTATATATATGGAGACCAATGGGGACATTCAAAACACATAAATTTGAAACTTGTATATGAGCAGTCGCAGTTTTCTACCGTAATTTGGATAAATGGTTTCCGTGAAATCCATGGCGTCCAAACCAGAGCCGTGTAAATGCACAGTAGCAGTTTTCCCTTATCATTATATCGATAAATGGTCGCTGTACAAACAGCCTTGAAGATGCACTTATTTATGTTTTTCTTTCTAAATATAGATAAATGATTTCTTTACAAACCTGAACCTCGAGATGCACTTCTTTATGTTTTTCTTCCTAAATATAGATAAATGATTTCTTTACAAACCTGAGCCTTGTAAATGCACAGTAGCAGTTTTTCCACCTTGATCTAGATTTATAGTTTCGGTATGTATGACGTTGCCATTGTGTTTTATCAACAAATGATGTTCACCAATCTTTCATGAAATAGTTTCATCCATTTGAGGCCAGCTGTATTTGGCTAAAAATAGTAACGAGAAAGCATTGTTATCGAAAACATATGAGTTCAGATGTGAAATACTAGTATCCGAATGTTTCTCTTATAAACTTCATACATAAAAGATTTCAACTTCTATACCATGAAAAAGATATTTTTCATATGGTTTCTTTATCAATACATGGTAATTTATCATATGAATGTATTTTTAATTTACCGTAATATTGTCTCCTGTTGCTAAAGCGTTCATTTGTTTATTAATAGCACCATCCCAAAATCCCCAAAGGAGGACTCCTTCAACTGCAGGATGGCTAAAGTACAATGTCATTACATCATCTAGCGCTGTAGCTTTATCAACGGCATTAGACTCTAAAATACTTAGTTCAGTAATCCATATCGGAAGTTCACTCTGGGAAATTTTATCTCATCTATACTAAATAAAAATAAAACAGTTCATTAGCAGTAGAATTATTATGGCGTAACCATAATTTAGAAAAAAACAAAGCTACTTTGTAAAGCTAGTATCCATAGAAATAAATAAGGAGACATGTTTTTTTGTGTCACTTCTCTGTCTTCTAGATCAAACCAATCAATACGGATTTATACATACAGTAGTTTGTTATTCTCCCTAATGATTATTCATTTTGGATTAGCTGAGGAATGATTCTGAAAGCAAAATGATTCCAAGATGTTCGTTCCGTCATTACAATCGCTATCGGATTTTATGGCTACTTCTTCTGCTAGACTTCCAAATATATATCGACTATAACAAACTCGTCCTATAACAAAATAAATCTACAAATAAATTTAGAGTAGATTGTGAAAACAATATTATTTAGTTTATTTGAGGAGAATACATGAAATTGAATCAATTTTGATTACTTATGGATTTCGTATATGTCACATTTAGGAGAATTTGTTTACTTTTATTGATATATCTAAGGTGTACTTAGATTGTTGAAAGCACATATGAAACATGTGGTAAGAAACCTGTTTGCTGTAACAAATATTACGTTAAACTTATTATAAGAAATATATATAACAAATGTTTGCTTCAATATAACTCTGTATAAACAAAGGCTAATGGTTGAAAGAAAGCATCTGTTTAATGTGGACATTGAAATATAATTAACCTATATTCTATCTATTAATCCATTACTGAATGAGCATAGTAATTACTATTTAACACACCTATTGCAGAAGGTTAAAAAAAAATGAACTAAGAAACTTGAATGACAAGTATACACTTCATACTATTGCTGCACTTGCTTCAGAAACTTACAGAATAACTAGTGGCAAACATGCATCCCAACAAAACTAGATACAAAATTAGGTTGAATGTCCAATTTCTCTCTTTCAACTGAAATTAACACTCTGACGTTCGTCTTAGGATAAAGTTTGTTTAAAAGAGTTCTGATCTTATTGTTAATGTATGCCAGTGTATAACGCAAATTACTGAAGATCGCAACACCGTTTTGTTTCCGCTTATAGTTGATGTGTTTCCCTCAGTTTTGGTTTGTGACCCGGATTTGTTTCAGTTAAATCGATTTATGACTATTGAACAGGGTATACTACTATTGCCTTTATGTAGACGAGAAGCTTAAAAAGTGATTCACATTTTTTGTAAAATATTTGATCTAAAATAATACGACATTGTCAAGTTTAATAAAAAGCTGAAATGTTTGGTTCTGGTAGATTGATATTCTATACATGGACCTCTATATGTCTTGTGATAGTTTGCATAACTAGATTGCTGTCTCATAAGGGTATTTCCCCACAACTTCTTAATTCATAGTTATGATTTACCTTAAGAACGTCCATATCTAATTGGCTAGTTTTAAAATGACTCTGCACTCCCATCCCGTAGATTGGAACACCACTGTCTTTGAATTTTCTTCCTTGAATTTTGTAAGCCTGTTAAAATAGATAACAAAGTTTACTAAAATAAATTGAAACTGATCCATTGGGTCCTTCATCTTTCGTCCTTTTATCAAAATAATAAAAACTATTTGGCACGTTGAAAAGCATATCAAACATAATTTTCAATAACAAAGGGATTTAAAAATTCTTTTTCATCTCGATTAGTATAAACAGTTTCTTTTCATTTAAATCAAGTGTTGTCATAAATTTTGTATATGATATATAATGAGTCCATCTGAAATGTGTATTTTTATATTCTTTTTCCTTGATTTAGATATAATATACGATTAAAAGATATACGGACATATTAGTTAAAAAGATATATTTAAAAATGTCCAAAACAAATAACGTTCGGAATCAACATAACTATATTCCACATAAGATTACTCTACAAACCGTTGTAGAAAGAGGGGAATTCACAACGCCAAAGTCATTCAGAAACAGCTTAACACTTGGTTCTAATGAATTTATCCAGTAAAACATTTCCCTGGTGATGTTTGAATGTCCAGTTTCTTGTTCAAAGTAATCTCCGTGTAAATTTTCGTTATTCACATCCCAATGTTCTTTTATGAAATTTCTTTGGAATCAAAAGTAAATTGCGTTAATCGAAGATTGATTTACAATAATAAGATCCAGACAAAATAGTCTGGCAATAATAAGAAAAAAGTAAAATAACAAAAATACCGAACTCCAAGGGAAATTCAAAACGGAAAGTCCTTTATAAAATTGCAAAATCAAACACTCAAACACATCAAACGAATGTTCCTGACTTGGTACAGGCATTTCCTTATGTAGAAAATGGTGGATTGAACCTGATAATGAATAATTATTTCAACGTTTGTAAGGATTCAAATGTTAAGGCAATATGTCGTCAATAGTTATGTTACAGGAGAACAGTTAGCTTCAAACATAGATTTATTCGGGGGAAATATTGCTCAGTTTCTCATCTAATAATTTGCCGTAATAAGGTAAATCTGTTAAGTTTGCAAATACATCAAAAGTACCAACTTACAGTCCATATGTTTCAGATATCATGTCATTAACTCTTATGTGCATTTGTTGCAATATATCAGCAGGTGACATATCATCTAGCCATCTGGGAGAATGCCCAGTGACACCCCAAAACATGTTATGGCCCCTAACTTTCATACTATAAATAAACAAATTGTTAAAATATATTACAAACATGAACAGTAACGAATATTATAAGATTCTTAAACAAGTCGTCTATTCCGATAACGGAGTATTCTTTTCAATTTAAGTTTAAATCCAATTCAAATAAAAAGCGTCTAAAAAGTTATTGCAATACGAGTTACGATAGTTTTGAAAAGAATAAACAAAGTATGGTTACTAAATAGTTAGCTTATATATAAATTTTTGAGGACGAAATTATAAAATATTGAAAATTTTGTTTATTCTGTTGTGAATTTTTATGAACAGTCTAGAAAAATAGATAATCATAAAACTAAAAAAGCATAAATGCTTTGAAATATTGAGTTAAATTTGATTTGTTCAAATTTCCATAAACACAGGTTAACCCGACAGCATAAATAAAGGCAATAGTAGTATACCCTGTTCAATAGTCATAAATCGATTTAACTGAAACAGATCCGGGTCACAAACCAAAATTGAGGGAGACATCAACTATAAAGGGAAACAAAACGGTACAACAGAAACACTGAACTGCTACAAAAACAAACATATGTAATAACATTCAAAATTCCTATTTTTTTTAAAATGAAGGTACACTTGAATTACAGTCGGAGGAGTAGTAGCTTCTTTTGCGTTCCGTGGAAATAAAAATAAAACCCCTTCAGTGGAAATTTGTCAGCTTATTGTTGTCTTCTAAGTTAATAAAAATACTGGTAACATCCAAAATACAACCAAGTTATCAGCCAGTCAAATCATTTATGAATAAAACTTTCAATATTTTTTGCAACCGCATCTTTGATAATTATTTAGTAAAGCCTCACATTCTACCTGTTTCTAAGCCTTGTACAAATAAAATTCATATTTCGAGACAATGTATGGTTATTCTATATTTATCGCTTTATTAAGAGTGGACAGCATCAGGTGAACATTATTTTCTTTACGATACAAATTTTGGAAAACGTTAAGACGCATTTAATACATAAGAATACCATATATTTCTTATATTTTCATTGGTGTTATCTAAAGTTTATAAATCCATGTTGGTACTATCAAAGATTTCATTGACCAAAAAAAATTGGTCAAACGTTTTAGAACGTTTTTACAGTCACAACAAAGCAAATTTTTATCGAAAATGTTTAAACGTACTTTGATATATACAGTTTCATCCTATAATTTCTTTGGATGTCATGGTTTTGGTTGTGGCGGTTCCTGAAGTTATCATCAGCACAGTTGTTAGTGCTTCAGTATTGACATGATTTATGAATTTACGTTGGTGAATTTAGAAATATTTGGGAAACTAAGGTTTAAACTCTATCATGCAAAGTTGGATTTGGTTATTTATCTCATGTCTCTTTTGGTCTCAAGCTCCTAACGAATTAATGTAGTTCAATATTTCTTTGGCAAAATTTAAAAAGCGTTATTTTTATTTGTAAGCATCGGATCGATACTGCTGATGGTGGAATGTTAGTCTCCGTGGGTATCATCAGCTCAGTAGGCAGGGTATCAAACTGACAATTTATATAAACCTTTCTAAAACTAGCCGTGGATAAAATTAGAATTATTGAGAAAATGAGGTTCCAGCTCCCTTTGGCAAAGTTGAAAGCTTTTAATGGATTTGATTTGTTATATATGAAAGATAGCAAAGTTAGCTAGGTTAACACAATATAACAAAAGAAAAAAAAATTCAAGTAATATCAGATGCTTCCGAAGGGTACAATGCATATCACGCTCAATATATTGGCAAACTGTTAACCGGAACAATTATGAACCATATTGGCAAATCAAAATTATTTCAAGATATTTTCCTCTCAAAATTTCGAGTTACTCGATCGTGAAATAACAGGATGGATCATTATTGAGAATTGGTCGTGAGTTGCATTTATATTTATATATATTCCTCCCTTAGGAAATTTTGATCATTTATCGAACCAAAATACACAACAAAAAAAGTAGGCGATTATTTCTTTTATTTGTTTAGTATATACAGTGGTTGCTATAGACAACTATCCCTTAATATTTTTTAAAAATTGAATGTTACACTTTAACCCATAACATAATTGTACATACAGATAAAAAAAAAATAGCCATACTGTTTCAAAAGAAGTGATACGGAGAGTTTTTAACTTTTTTAATGTGATCATCAGGTGCATTGTATTATTTTTAAGATTCTGCAACAAAATACAGGTTGAACATTCGACTTTGACAGCCAAGAAGCGTTGCTAGAGTAACCTAAATTATATGCAAAACAAACAATAGAGGGAATCCTGATAAGAAGTTGAGGGTCCTGAATATCGTATCAACTACGAAAAGAAAAAAAACCCAAAATAAGCATATTCAAATTTTACAGCAAATTAAAAAAAAACAGGTTAATTTCTATTGGTCTACTCTAAAATACGCACGAAATGCTGAAACATTATACCGAGTCCATGCATTGCTCATTGCTGTTTTTTGACATTTTGTATTTTGGATATTATAGAATATTATAAATACAATATGTAAATCTAAATCAAATCGATGAAAATAAATCTGACAGCCAATGGCCCTTTAACAATGTTATCCTTTCTATGCAAGTTCGCATCATTGAAAACATATACCACATGACTAACAATCATCATCTTGTAATACCCCTCCTTAGACAAAAAGAAGACTACTGGATTCGACAATTGGGAACTGCGACAGCATATGGTTGCAATGACAAAATTGATAGTATAGGTTTTCTAGTCCTTCCTGTAGCTCGGTGAATGTGATGAACATTTTCAACTCTACTCCTCGACGTAGACGCAGTCATGGTCATCGTCATGATACATCGCATACTCTCGAAATGTCTCTATTAATGACCTGCTGCCATTAATACAAAAGCCGTTAGGTATTCATCACATTCGCACGAAACTTTATTCATTACTCCTTTCTCTGTATAACGCATGTTTGGAAACCACTGTTACAAACCCTTATTTAAACCGATACAGACTAAAAGCTATCATCTCGGATATTGCAAGTCACAGACATTTCAAACCAGTTCGCATTGGAAAAGATGAAAAGGAGAAAAGATCCTTTCTAAAATTTCCTTTGACAACAAAGGTATCGATGCCATCAACTTGGTCAATATCCTTCATCATAAATCGGTTCACTCGAAAATAGCTCCCTATTTTAAAGATCAGTCTGTACCTATCATTTCTTATAACTATACCAAACCAATTGCAACTAAAATTTTCGATTACAAACACGTGTTGCAGGATCTCAATATTGACGACTTTAAGTCTAAACCTCCTGATTGAACCTGTGCTAGTTCTCCATTCATATATAATCCGGCTGGCCACGTTATTACTGGTGACATTAACATAGTCAATAACACTTTCCTGCAAAATGTGTTATCCAAAGGCCCGAAATATCGTGAGCCTAAATCCATCAATTGGAAAAAAAGTAAAATAAGAAAAATACCGAACTCCAAGGAAAACTCAAAACGGAAAGTTCTTTATCAAATCGCAAAATCAAAAGCTCAAACATACCAAACGAATGGAAAACAACTGTCATTTTCCTGACTTGTATGACAGTCTCAAAGAATGGAAACACAATTCAAAATACTGATGGATTCAGTCGAGGTTAAACGCAAGAACGAAGACGTAAATACTCTTTCCAATGGCTTAAGGCTGTGAGGTCGTTGATACAAATCAGAATTAAAACAATGAATGGGTCTATGAATACCCATGCTACATCAATCTTTAAAGACCCAAATGTTGCAAAACACCTGTCCTACCTCTATGACAATTATGTTGTTTTCCCCGCAGATAAAGCTCTAAATAACATCCTTTTTGTGTGTAGATAACATTACATAATCTGCTTGATAAATGAATAAGGTATTGACAATTCACTTTGAAACTCAATATATTCCACCACGACACTTACCAAGGAGGAAATCCTGGATAATCATAGGTCAATTCTATGTTCGCTTGGAATTTCAACCAATAATAAAGAACTATATCTTCCTTCGCTGTATTGGATATCTGAACTACATAAGTGTCCTTACAAACAACGTTATATTGATGGGTCTGTGTACCGTGAAACCTCTTTCTAAGTTATAAGACCTTTTAGAGTACATACAATCTACGACTCTTTTTGACTTTTCTACACTTTACACAAGTTTTCCCATTTTAAACTTAAAGACAAATTGAAATAGTTGGTGCTGCTTTCTTTGATAAAAAAGAATGGCCAACGTAGATACAAGTATCTTGTCTTAGGGAGGGATAAGTCGTACTTTGTAAAAAATCACTCTGATTCAAACAAAAACAATTCTCTGAAACTGATTGACAACATATTTGTTACGTTTGGAGGACGTATTTTTCAACAAAGAATCGGCACTCCTATGGGAACCAACTGTGCTCCTTTTTTTGCCGACTTGTTCCTTTTTTCATATGAGGCTGACTTTATACAGGAACTTCTTAGGAAGAAAGAAAAGAAGTTAGCAGTATCCTTTAACTTTACTTTTCACTATAAAGATGATGTTCTTTCACTAAATAATTCAAAATTTGGCGACTATGTTGAACGCATCTATCCCATCGAACTTGAGATAAAGGATATAACAGATACAGTTTAGTCTTCCTCATATCTTGACTTACATCTAGAAATTGACAATTAGAGTCGATTGAAAACAAAACTATACGACAAAAGAGCCGATGATTTCAGCTTCCCAATTGTGAACTCTCCATTTTCATGTAGCAACATTCCAACAGCGCCCGCATACTGAGTATATATCTCCTAGTTGATACGATATTCCTGGGCTTGTATTTCCTATCATTATTTCCTTGGTTGCTGCTCATAAGGAAGCTACTAAACCAAGAGTTCCAAGTTGAAATCATCCCTTCGTCAATTTATGGACGCAATCACGG